GGGTTCAGCTTTGTGGGACCTGAGTTGAGTGGTGCTGGGTGGGAGCCATGTTAAGGGAAGAAATGGCCTGAGGCTGTATGTGCAGCTGCCAGTCACCTAGTGTGTACTGCTTTCTTCCGTATTTTCACATATTCCTAATCAGGTCTCTAAGCACTGCTCAGGTGGGTCAAATGGGTTGTAGTATGCTCTTCATACAGGTGAGGAAACCGAGGCCCTAGGATGAAAGCTCAGGTTCTCCCCACCTACTGCTATTCCTTCCTTACCACCTCCTCCCTCCCTCTCTCCACCCGTCAACCTGGACCTCCCAGGAGGCTGGGCTGCATGGGGACGGGCACATGCACCTCACACTGTGCTGGCACACGGCCTCCCCCCTGCCTGGCCCCTCCTACTCAGACTGGGATGGAGGCCCGGCTGCTCGTTTTGCCCTTGGATATTCCTTTCATATTCCCCTAAGCAGCGGGGACCGTCTGCAGGTTGGGCCTAAGACCTGGGTTTTAATCCTGGACCTCAGATTAGACTTATTCACCTGCTATTCTTTATAAGGCATTCAGGGGAAGAGGGCTAGGCTGAGCTTTTTTGGTAGTGTCGATATTTAACTTTTAGTCTCAAATTACTTGTTTATTTGGGCAACACATCAGAGCAATGGCATCCTGGGCAGAGTCTGGAGGTAAGCTCACAAGGAAGCTGCGCACAGTCCCTGCACAGGTCACAGGGGTGGATCACATTTCCTGAGCTGTGTGGAGCTTAGCTGTGTGGACTGCAGAGCCTTGTCCTCAGTAGCCCTGTGTGGTAGCCACTGTGCACCTGGGTAAAATGAGAGCCGCGGCCAGTGTTCCTGCTCTGATGCCTGCTTCACTCCTGGAGTGAGTGTGCAGCTAACATTCTTCCAGACCCAGCCCTTTGCCAGTTAATGTTTTATTAACCTTTCTCTTTCCTTCGGGGCTTAGAAAGAGGATACGTATTTCATTAGTTAGCTAGTTAGCCTTCTGTGACTTCGACAAGTGCTGTCTGGGCTGGGCTGGGCTGTGCCTGGTGGTTTGCATATGCCCCTAGCTGCCGCTACTGGTAACTGCCCGTGGTTTGCATGCCACACTCCAAGATTTTCTGGTGTAGAGTGCAAGCTGGAAAGGGTCATTAGGCCCTCATTTCATAGAAAGGTAAACTGAGGCTTAAGGGGAACAGTGATCTGTTTAGTAATTAGCCAAGTGAGTGGTAGAACACTGACCTGGCCCCAGTTCTGTGGTTTGAGACCAGTGGTTCCGGCACAGTGACGCAGCAGCCAGCCACTGGCCTCCCACCCTTGGCCTTTACTTGACCAGCACTGCCTGGAGGGGTTAGGGAGGAGAGAGGGCTGGGGCAGGAAGCCCAGCATTTTTCATGTGCCGACATGTATTTGCAGCCTCCTCCGAAACTGCCCAGTGGAGTATTCAGTCTGGAATTTCAAGATTTTGTGAATAAATGGTAAGTTGGCTCCTTATTATATGGAAGAGTACCCCATTTTTGTCAGGCTCCCCACCCCATCTTGGCTTTGTCCATTCCCCTCTCCACTGATCCTTTCGGCTGCTGCCCTTCTTAGGTGACCTGACAACTGCAGTCGGTAAAGTAGCTGCTGACTTTTGACGTTACTCGGTTCAGCATTTATTAACCTGCTGTGGGCATGGCCTTATGCTAAGAACAGGGAAGTGCATAAGGCTCAGGCACGCCTCAGAGCCTATATATAGTGTGGGGAGGACAGGGAGGTAAACCTAAGTAACTGGAGGTAGAAGCAGCTCCAGGCAGTAGCTCACATGTTATTTTTCTTCCTTTAAGCTTAATTAAAAACCCTGCAGAGAGAGCAGATTTGAAGCAACTCATGGTAAGTTCATTTATTTCACTCTTACACTACTTGTTCATTCATCTGTTCTCCTGTCAGTCATCCATCTAGTACTTCCTGAGTCCATCCCTGCTCTGCCTTGAGTCCTGCTGGCCCTGCCATAGGATCCCAGATACCATTCTCCTGTCCTCCCATCAGTTTAAAGGAAAAACTGGAATGGCCCTGCAGCCCTGAGTCCAGGGAAAGAAAGGGCCAGCCCACCTGTTCACAGGGACAGGGTCTTTTTCTATTACCGACCAGCTCATTTTACATTCAGCTCCCTCCCCAAGCCACTCTCCACTTGCCTCCTGTTTGGTGGTGGTGGTGGTAGAGGGGCACTGAGAAGTAATACTATAAATACCTGGGCTTCCATGTCTTATAGAGCCTATACAGTGTAACATGCACTTCCATCCATTCCTTTGTTCTAACAGTTGTGTGAGGCACTGAAAGCAGAACTACCACCCGCATGTCAGAGGTGAGAGAGCAGGTTCAGGGAAGTGAGCCAGCTGCCCAGAGCCAGGGAGAGCTGGTCTTTTGTCCAGCAGCTGAACCTGCTTTCCTGGCCCCCACTGCTGCTCAAGGGTGGGCTCCAGGAGCTACTTCCAAGTGGCACAAGCCCTTGACCTACCAGGACTTTTGAATTTCCCTTCTTCGTGGCTATTTAACATTGCTTCCTCTGTTTCCTCACATGCAGGTTCATGCTTTCATCAAGAGATCTGATGCCGAGGAAGTGGATTTTGCAGGTTGGCTCTGCTCCACCATTGGCCTTAACCAGCCCAGCACACCAACCCACGCAGCTGGTGTCTAGATGTTTGGGAAACAGCGAAGAGCAAGTCCCCTGCCCAGTGGTGTGTTATGTTGCTTTCAGGCCTATTTCCCACATCTCTGTTCAGACATGCATTTCACATATGACAAAGAATGAAGAACACAGCATGTGCCAAAACTCTATTTGTGTCATTTTTAATACAACTGTCTTTACTCTTATTATTCCCCTAAGTGGATTGGCTTTGCGCTTGGGGCTATTTTTGTGTATGGTGATGATCAAATCATGTGCAACATTGAATTAGTGTGAAACTTCGGTGACTGTGGGTAGTCATTTTTACTGAAAACTGCACTGCTGTCCCTCACGAGGATTGGCTGGCCGGCCACCTGGATCCTGGGGATTCTCTCACACTTGGTGGTACTTCACTCTTGCCAGGCGTACCTTCTGTACTGGAGGAAGGAGCCTTGCAAGATTCTTCACAGGCAGTGCATGTGAAGCATGCTTTGCTGCTACGAAAATGAGCATCAGAAAGTGTGTATCATGTTATTTTATTATCCTTTTGCCGTTGGTGTAGAATTCAGCAATTTCCATCCAAATCTAGCCAGAGCCCTTCACTGCCATGATAATTGGGGCTTCACCAGTATATCTACTCTGATGATGTGTAGACTTCTGGTTGTATTTCTATATTTATTTTTAAATATACTGTGTGGGATATTTAGTGGTATATGTCTCTAAGTTTGGATTAGTTTCTAAAATGGTGGAGTTACTTTGACTGTCACAAGTGTATCAAGGCATTAAAATGTATGAGATTTATCTTTCCCCAAATCCAAATACTGATGCTATTGTAAACAAGTGTGTATAGTGCCTAAAAATTGTATGGAAATCCTTTTAACAACTTTAATCCAAATGTTTAACAAATCTAACCTCTTATTCTAATAAATATACTACCAAGTTAAAAGACTGAAAAGTATTTTTACTTTTGAGTTAGGATATTCAGCGCCTCTTAACAAGGAATCAGATGATTTAGCTGAGCATTACTGTGAGGGGAAAGATAAGGACAGGGAGGTTGGATGGTGGAAATGCCGTGAGGACAAGTGCAACACTTTGGACTAATGGGGCTTCCTGAAATTCCAACTGTGGACTTTGTCCAACTCTTCTCAGCAGACGCCCTTGTCCTTGAATCTTCCAGCCACCTTTCCTGCGGACCTGTGAAGGTCCTTCCTACTACATACGGAGCAGCAGTGGGTGGGGGTGGTCGGCAGTGCCTGGCTGGCACTGGAGCCCCACCTGGGACAGTCCATCCGTGCTGCCCTGCCCCGCTGAGCGCTGGTTTCCCTTCCACTTGCTCTATTTACCTACACCTTTCTGGAGAGGAGGGATATGCCTGGTGCCAGTTTTGTTATGGCTGTGAGATCACAAAAAGCAAAGCCATGTCTCATCTGGCCACTGGTACCCTTTCTTTCTTTGAAATGGCTTCTGGAACTTAAGGTTCCAAGTGAGGCTGCCTGGTCAGTGCCTCTTCAGACCTCATGTTCTTCCTTGAGAGGACAGGTTATAGAAAGCCAAAGTAAATATATATTAACAAATAAAATGCCTATTTTATTTTCAAATTAAAAAGAGAATTTGGGTAAATCTCCTGAGCAGGTAGTTCTACTCTGGATGCAGCAGAGCTTGGAATACAGCCAAGATTTTTAAAACTGGTCAGTGTTGTATTGCTATCAGAGTCAGTTTTTCTTGCTGCAAGGCTAATGTCCAAGTCATCATACTTTCTGATATACAAACATTCAGGCTAAGGTTTAATACCACACCTTCCTCATCCTGTCTTTCACTAACACAGTGCCACTGCTACTGAGAATGTCTCATTAAGCTGGGCAAATTCCACCTGAGAAGAAAGGGATGGTGTAACTGGAATCTAAAATCTGGATCTGAACACTTTCATGCTCACTACCTTTTGAGGGATGCTTCTAAATTCTCTTCATACCTAAAGGTATTTTCAAGAGACAGAAGATTTTTCCTCCCCAGGAATTACTAAGAATTATCTCGTTCTCCAGAATGATGTTCCCTGCATCAGTCTTGCTATGTTGAGTTCCTCATGTCAAATTCCTTCCTCAAATTTCTGAAACACTGACACTAGTTGGATTTTTCAGTTATCTCGTTAGCATCCCACAGTCACCAGTAAAAACAGAGCAGGTACGAATACCCTCATTTGACAGAAAAGTGCAAGTTCAAAGATGTGAGAGGGTTGGAATTCATAGCCAGTTTTCCACTCTTACAAACCCATGGTCATATTTTAAATCAGACCCCAAAATGTACAACCTTGATGCAAAATTATCTTCACATTGTTTTCCAAGAAACATGTTCATTTAAACTTCCTGCTACTTCCTGTATGAGTAGCTCAAAATAACTTTAATGAAAATTATTAACATGTTCTCTTGTCTGGAACAGTTACATAAGTTCTGCTTGAGGAGGTTCTTTGTGTTCGGCTTTGCTGTTGCATGGACAGGGCAAGTTACTTTTATGAAGTCAGGTAACTAGCACCTTCAATGGCAAAGGGCAAGTGTGCAGAAATAAATCTCAACTTCCAATACCGAGTTTTAAGAACACTCTATCATCTCTTTATTATGAAAGTCCAATCTCCTAAGCAGAGTGATTCCTTCCCTAAGAACACATTTCCTCCTAAGTCAAGAAGTGGGTTTTAAACCACCCTGCCATACTCCTTTCCCCAGGAGGAACCGATCCGTTTCCCGTTGCTATCTGGAAACCAGCAGCTGCACGATGGCTATTCGTCTAGTTTATTTCTAAGCACGTTTTATCAGCGGCGTCTCAACCTAGATGTGATGACAGCCACACAGAACAGTCTGTAGTGGACAGCGTTTCGAGACACCACTGAGAGGTAGCAACAGCTTGTGCCCTCAAGTGGCCTTCTGTCCTCATCTTTTTTCTTCCCTAGACTCTGGCTATGTTTACGAGGGTACAATGGTATGCAAACAGCCTTACATTGACTAGCTTACAAGAAGCATTGTTGATCAGAAAGGCTGGCTTGTACTTACACTCTGCCCTTTTGGCAAATGTCAGACTTTCTCAATAGCACTTCAGAGGAAATGTTCTGTTTTGAACACAATTACTGGATCTGACCAGAATACAGACACAGCACCACCCATATTGCTCAATGCTCAGACACTGCATCTTTCCTTTCCCCCGTGCTGCTGATTTTTGGTAAAGCATTCTGAAACGAATTACTGATGGAACCAGTTTCGCAAGTATACATCCTCCTCCTGAAGTTCTCACTCTCTTTAACGCAGGCTGTAGGGCCCATGGCAAGAATGTTTGGAAGGAAGTTTCTGAGACTCTGAAATTGAATTTGTATAACTAATCCTAGCTCTTTTGCCACTTCAGGAATCTGATTCTTCTTCCTCCTCCTCTTCCTCTTCTGTCACATGGCTCCTTGTGCTCAACTCCAGTGCAGTTTGGTTGATTGATGCTTCATTGTCTACATGCACCGATATCTGCTTTAGCCAAGGACATCATGGATTAGTAGGGAGGGCACTGGCCTCAAAACCAGCAAATTTTAATCCAAATCTCAATTGTGTGTTCATTCCCAGTATTTACCAACTAAGAGGTATGACCACTTTCCTATTTATCCAAATTCTACCCCAGGCTCCCCACCAACCTGCATTGCTAAAATGGAAGTTAAATGCACTAGATTTGACAGAATATCACCTGATTTACAAACATGGTTCTTATGTAAGAATTACACTGGCTTACATGTACTACTTTCGAATGGGTTTAAAAGGCTTCACTCAACTGAGAGAACTGCTCAAATATCATGTATTTAGAAAGACTATGATTTTACTGATTTAAGGGAGGGCATTTGGTAAGAGGGAGGACACAATGAAGACTAGAACTCACTTGTTAGCACCATGCTTTGCAATTGAAGTTATCTTCTACTTCTGAACCCCAAACTAACTTACAGAGCAAGAGGTCTGCCATGTCCCTGCAAAGATCTCTACTCTCCTTGCCCTCATTAAAGTAAACAGAACACAGACGACTGGGATGGTGTAGGCAATATAAGTACCTAATGAATACATCAATCAAGATGTAACCAGCTGGGCTGTTCTCGTCTAAAACAGTAATACTGAATACCCAGTTTATAAAACTAGAAAATTCTTATCAGTACTTCCCAGAGTCCCTTGGGCTTCATAATGTAATTTACAACAGTTTTTGACCTCCAAACATCACGACAGCAGGATGGGCTTTGCATTCCCTCCGTACCCCCACACTTCACTAAGCTTACATCATGTTCACGAGCAGCTTGAGAAGGCAGCATCTCATCCCCTCTTCTGGAACTAATCATTGATTGGAGGGCCAGTTCCTCAACCTAGAAAAAAAGAGTTAAGGATATTTTCCTTACTTTTTCACTGGGCTACTGATGTGGGCAAATTTTACTGTTCATGCTGTAAAAGGATGCCATCAAGAGGAAGCAAAAACAGTGTAAATCTCTGTGCCGTGCTAGAGAGCAGGGTAGAATCCTCCAGTCCCTTCCCCCTGGGTGTACAGGTGCTCCAGCTGAGCCAGGGCTTCCACTCCCCCAGACCTGGCAGCTCTGGGAAGAAAGCAAGAGTGAGTCCTTAAAAAAAGCCAAGTGTCATCTTCTGATTCCACAAACGGTAGATTCCTTATGTTTGAGCTCTCTACCTAGTAAAGAGAAATGGAAGGTGGGAAGAATGGGAAATGAAAGTGTTCTCAGGAACATAAAGAAATTTAGGCTTTGGAGTTTATCATCAACTCACTCACATTAGGTACCTGTACAGGTACTATGATGCCCTGAGAACCTAAGTGTGGGGTATGACAACTGTCCTGAGGAAATGTGCTTATTACATTGGTATGTCACATTTGTGTACAATGCTTTTCAGTTTACAATGGGCTTTCATAACCCTTATCTCATTTGGACTTAAAGATCCTGAAGAAAGGTGCTGAGCAGAAATTATCAGGATCATCGCAGTGGGGCTGAAGGGTGAATGGTAATGCCCAGGTCTGGGAAAGGGTTCCGGTGGGCGTAAATCTCTATTCCCAGTTAAGGCTGTGGAGTCAGTAACCGCTGTGGAAAGACAAACTACTGGGAACTCTGTGACAAGTCTCTTCACTCGGGCCTCGTTGTCCTTCTTCGCACCATGGGGGAATGTGCAAGGCTCTTCTAACTTTTCAATTCTAGAGCTACTTCAAGCAGCAATACAGCCTGGAAATAGTGGCTAGTAAAACCTGCAGGAGCTCGGGAGGAAGGGGTCGGTGGGCGGAGAAGGTCGAACTTCTCGTGGGAACCACCTGCATTTCCGGGAGGTCTGGTATGGGATGAACTCGCCAAACGTGCAGATTGCCGGATTTCAACCTCGACACACAGGACCCAAGTTCTGAGCTGGGACCGTAATACCAAAACAAGCTCACGCGGGGCTTGTTTACCACCAGGTCAGCACCCCAACCGCCAGGAGAAGGAGGGATTACCAGCAGCAATGCTGCACTGCAAACGCCTGGGATCCGCGTAGAGCCGAGCTCCGGGCAGTGGCAAGGGGGTGAGGTGAGGGGTCGGGTGGGGGCTGCTGGATCACCTTGAGCCGATTCAGCTGGTCATGCAGTGCCGCCTTCAAACGGAGCAGCGTCTCCTCCTCCTTGCGCAGCTCCTGGAGCCTGCTCAGCATTGCGTCTCCTCGTAAGGCCCAGTTGGCCGGGCGCTCTGTGGTGACGTCACGGCCCCGTGTCCCGGAAACAGAACTGCAGGTGGACTGCACGTGGGGCGGGGCGCTTCCTGCCCTCTCTGGCGGGAGTACCCGGAGGTTTTAAAGCGTAAGGCCTGGACTCGAATAGGATTCCTAAAGAACGGGGCTTTGAAACTGTACAGAACCGGAAGAGAAAACTGCTCAACTATTGAGTTTCAAATGCGAGTTGAACAGTACTCACTGTATTGCACTTCTAATGTGATGGGAGTTTTCAAATTTGATTTTACAGAGGGAAACGTCGGTACTGTTCCACTTAATTGTGCATTCAATGGTCAATTCTTATGTCCCCTGGGGACCAAGTGCAACCTTGGTGTATGGGGACTTTCTAGCCAGTGGAGCAACCCGTCTAGGATTAAGTGGTTACCACCATAAAACCTGCATTTGAAGACAGGGATTATCAGTAGCGTTCGGCGCAGAACAAGCTCTAGTGTTGGTTGTCAGAGATAAGTATTGCCAGTTACATGCAAATGTTCCCCAGACCATGGAAGTGAGCATGAAAATAAAGCAGCTAACAAATTGGAAGATGGTGCCTGTACATGCTAGGGAACTAAGATGTTCTGAATCTGCAAATGGATTATGTATCACACGTGTGCTATGGATTTGCCTGCCAATACAAAAGGGAGGGGGGGTCCTAACATGAAGTCAACTCTAGGGTAATTCAATGGCAAACTAAAAGAAACATGCCGTGGTATACTGTTGTTTTACCAACATACACATTCCAGAACACACAAAATTGTTTAAGTGCTTCTTCTGGCACTATTCCAAGAGCCAAAATATCCAGGGTGGCAAGAACACCCTCCTAACAGCACTGTCCCAGATTGTAAAGTGTTTCTATGAGGAAACCGTATTTCTCACTGCTGCATCTCAAATATGCCTTCTGATTATGCCCTCTTGTGGTTATTGGGAATGTCAAACCTTTATGAAATTCTCTAGGGTTTTTTGGGGGGAGAAGTTGCAACTATACTTTAAGTTTCTGTGTATTTCTGATCCAAGCCTTCTCACCATCATCTCTTTTCTCAAAACACTGCTTACAAAATGGATTGGACTTTATATGTCTTTATGGAGCATCCTTCCTACAGTTCAACAGCATGGATTTTGTATAAATCCAAGATCCACTTCAGACTGTTAACAAACGAAAGGCTGGAGTTATGAAGAACAATGTGTCTACAAGAACAATTCTAACCAAGATTCACACAACAGATGCAACAAGTCATGTTTATCACTGCCTCTGACATGTTTATTCAAAACTAGCTGTCCATAGTGACTTGACCGTTATAGAATAAACAAATTTAAGTTTATGCCACAGGCTTCTTTTCTTCTGTGGTAGGTTTCTTTTCTGCAGGCTTCTTCTCAGCTGCTGGTTTCTTGGTAGCTGCAGCCTTTTTTCCCACCACAGGCTTCTTCTGCTTCTTAACGCCAACAACCTTCTTTTCTTTCTTTCCTACCACAGGCTTCTTGCCTGGAACTTTCTTCTCTTCTGATTTGGCTTTTAGTGCCGCTGCTGCTCTATCCACCCGGAGCTTGTGCTGCAATAAATAAAGAAGAAAGTCTAAAAAAATCAAATCTTTCTAAAGACTTATCACATCTGCAAAAAAACCAAATTATCACTTACATTCCTGGCCTGGCGAAGAATAGTGTTCCGGCGCATGGTCTTTGCATATGGATTTAACTTCAACATGATTCTCAGGTTTTTCAGTGGATTCTTCTTCAGGACTCTGCGATGAATCTTCTTGCTATAAAAGACAGTATATTAGTATTTCATCTCATTATCCACATTTTTAAAACTCCCACCAAGGATATGCCTTTTAAAAAAATTGACTTGAGAGGAAAGGAGAGAGAAGCAGCAACTGGCTACCTCCCACACACACCCTGGCCAGGGATCAAACCTACAACACAACCTTTTGGTATACAGAACTGACACTCCAACTAACTGAGCCAACCATCCAGGGCTACCTTACATCACATTTTACAAATAACAAATTACTTACAATGTTATTGGGGCAAGAATTACTATAAATATCAGAACTTTACCGTGGTGCTCGGAGGGCTCTTTGGATCTCTGGACTTTTTAAGATTCTACTAAGGTCTGTATTGAGCATCTTGTGCATGGGGAGGCTGAAAGAAAAATGAAGAAAATGTTGAAAACGGATGATGAATTCTCATTTCTCATGTGATTAAAATGAACCTCAACGTTTAACAACTTAAAGCCCCTCAGAATTCAATGAAAACTTCCAACTACCCTATCACTCCTCAGAGCATCTCATCATTTCAACATATTGCATCTGTACATAACGGGAAATAACAGAACACAGTGTTATTTAGACTAAAACATGAAAACCAAAAACCAATTCAGAATGTGAACATAGACTAAACACCTACATTCAGTATATGAATTATGAAGACACTCACTTGTAGTTACTCTTGAGGGAAGCTGCTTTACGCCAAGTGCCATACAGATCATCTAACTTGCGGAAAGCACTTTCAGTCCAAATGCAGAAACGGCCCACATGCCCACCAGGAGCAAGTTTCAAAATGTTCAGTTTGCTTACATTAAGCAGAGTAATTCCTTTTAAAGGGAAAGGAGAATTAAGGCATGTGTATTTCAATAGAACAAAAATTGTCTTGACAGCCTATGTACTACTAGGTAAGATACCCAAGAACTGTAATTACGAAGTTTCAACCATTAATAGTGCACTCATTTAGCCAAGAATCAGACATTCCACAAAATCATGTGTTTCAGAAACACGGACCATAAAGTGGAAACTCATCATATAAAGGTTGAGTAAATCTCCGTAGTTCAGGCTACCAAACACACAGGCAGTAAAAAAGAATTACCAGGAATGTTTCTGAAGGCTTTGTTGATACCATTGTCTTCACTGTAAATGATGCAGGGTCCTCGGCGCTGGATACGACGACGGTTTCTCATTTTGCCCTTGCCAGCTCTCATTCTCTGAGAGGCATAGACCTATGAAGTGAGAAGGTTTAGTGTTCTGATTAAGATGATCCCTATAAGAGATCTTCAGAGTCAAAAACCACATACAGACAATGGTATAACATATAGCCTAGGTGTGTAGTTAAGTAGGCTACATTCCATCTGTTTGAGTTACATGAGGATAAAAACCACCTAAACAATGCATGACTATAATATGGCTCCAGAGTACTTGCTGTCATATGTAATCATATCTAAGCCTTGTAGTTAATACCATCCTTCCGTACTTTTTAAAAAAATTAGTTTTGAAAAAGACAAAGAATCAGAAACATGAATTTGTTGTTCCACTTATGGACACATTCATTAATTGATTCTTCTATATGCCCCGACTGGGTACTGAACATGCAATGTGCAGGTGTACTAGGGCAGTGTTCCAATGAAATTATCCGGCCAAGGCCAGCAATATTTTGAAAATTAAATTCTGATAAATTTGCGTGAAGATCTACCAACATCAAACCTACCTTTTTGATATCATTCCAGGCCTTAAGCTTCTTAAGAAGCAAAACAGCCTCTTTGGTTTTCTTGTAGCTTTCAACTTTATCTTCAACCACCAAAGGAAGTTCAGGAACTTCCTCAATACGATGACCTGACAAAGCCAATTAACACTGAGCTGGTTACCCTGAAACCTTTGAAAAACTGAAACATTTAATATAACCCACAAAAGCAAAATGGTACAATTTGCCAAATCAGAACCTTTCACAAATATCATGTGTTTCAGAAACACGGACCAATCAAGTGGAATCTCATCATTTTGACGGTTGAAAACATAACAGTCAACACGAAGTGAAAAGTTTTCCAATATACTAAATCACTATATTTGAATTATTTGTATGTTACATTCTATTCACTGACTGATTTGTCAGACTGAACAGAGTATTTGGTAGAAGGAAATTTAGCCACTAGGATGAACACAATTTACAGAGGTTATAATTAACATGAATGAAGAAGTTCAGGTGAAGGAAAACATGGGTATTTTAAACCACTCCTGTAATACAAAATATATGACAAACCTTTAGACATGACCAGTGCTGGTAATGCTGAGGCAGCTAAGGCAGAGCAGATGGCGTATCGTTTCTGTGTTGTATTCACTCTGCGGTGCCAACGGCGCCAGGTTTTGGTTGGTGCAAACATGCGGCCCCCACGACACATCTATTTTTCTCAGTTAAGAATCACACTTCTCAAATGTCAAGAATTAAAAAAGGTTCTGTCTTGCTCAGTAAGAATTTTCGTCACCCTTCTGAACCAGCTTACTGACAGCAGGCAACTGTCGCCGAGAACAGAGTCAGACGCAAATTACGACATCATTGCAAGTAAAATTTTCTAACGCAAAGTCCCTGTTAGAATCTTCCAGATTCCAAGTCTGTCTAGAGTTAGCTGGACACTATTATTATTTTGGACAAAAAAATTTTCAAACTACTAACACGAATAAACCAGGACCAGCCTGCTAAATTCCATGGTGGCTGAGAAGTAGGTAACGACAAAAAAAGATACATTTCCGAAAGCACCCTGGCCCGAACGATGAGTTCCACCACCTCGAACTCTGGGAATTCGAGCCACAGCTCTACCAGTACCCCAAGACTCAGCACTGGTTTGATGTCCTGAAATGGTAAAGAAATAAAGTTTTAACTAACCCAACCATATCAATGTGACAATTATGCATGGCAGCAAACAGCATCAGAACATCCAGGAAAATCATCTGATTCAGAAACACGGACCAATGGAATGGAATTTCATCACTGCTGTTAAGCAGCTCTTAAAACATTAAAACACTAAAGATCCAAATCCATACCTGCCAATTCACTGACAGCATAGGGCTGTCTATTGTTTTTGCGTAAGTTGGTGTGAACAAAGTTCACAATATCTGGTCGAATGGGAGCCTTGAACACAGCAGGCAAAGTGACATTTTTGCCAGATGATTCCCCCTTTTCGGAGTAGACCGATATCAGAGGACGAGCACACGCCTGGGAAAAAGGAAAAGGTATTTATACTGACAAGAAATGTCAGAAGCACTCTTCTCACGTGCCATCAATGCCATTAAACCCACAGTTCCAAGAGTCTAGAGTTTGGTGAAGTAGATAGACATTGCCTAAAGCTAAAAAAAGGCTGCAACGTTACAAACACATTTTACCTATTAATTTCAATAATTCTTACCTGAAGAACACTTAGAATCAAGTTGCACTACATAACTTTCTAAACCAGGGTTTACGTAGTGAAATGATCGAAACACTTTAAGATTGAGAATGCAGGTTAAAACCACTATCTAAACTTTCACCCCAAATGTCAGTAAATCTTGTCTACGACTCTATTTCTCCAAACTCCCATCCTTGCCCTTCATCCCATTCTAAACCCGTTTTCCAAAACTTACTAGTGAAGTTACTTTTTGCTAAAAACAGTTACTTTTTGCTCAACCTTCTCCAAAGACTTACCTCCTGAAAATAAAACTTACAAGTTCGGAGGATGGTCTATACAATCTGCTCAACCTCCTGCCCACTAGCTGCAGATACACTAAGGGCACTCTTCACCCTCCTGCCTCAGTGTTACCAAGTTCTCTCCCGAAAGATACTCTCAGCATGCTTCCTCACCTCCTTCAGGGTACCTTCCATAGGTTTCTGATTGTTTAGTGCCCAACTACTGCCTCCTTTCCAATTCCTTATGTACAAAGCACTCACTACTATCAAACATACTATGAATTTTACACCTACATCAATTACGATCTAAGAAACGCAGGCAGTTTTCTCCCATTCTGTTCATTAGCCGTACTATAACCTGGCTGATTTCTAAAAGATTTAGGGGACACCAAATAATAAAATTCTTAAGGGAAGTAGACACTTTTGATAGAGGAGATTCTTAAGGTGAACAGTCAAGAATTCAGATGAATGGTTGAAAAACAAATCTCCCTCAAAAGATGAAATATTCTTTACTAATCAGCACTTAAAACATACAAGGCCTAAACTGACTCACCACAACTCTCAGGACTCAAGGACTTCGAATTATTCAGTACAGCTTGTGCCTTTTAAGACCAAGGAAAGCTAGAATTCGAAAGACCCTCTGCGCCAGAGCATCATGTGGTGTCTTGCGTTGTTTCCAGGAGCAGGAGCGCCCTGCGCCTGGAGGCCCACGTTGCCTTTAAGATGGCCGCCGTATGGTCGCACTCCCGAACTCCCCTCAACAAACAGATGCATTTGATCTTCGTCTCCTTTCCCCTGCTTTCCCTCCATAAGATTTTATGCCCTGAACCCTCAATCCATTCCTGCCGGGCCCAACAGACGGGGAACGACTAGCAGGGAAAAGTTCTACTCACCATGGCGTTGAGAGGAGAGACCACGCTCCTCTCAGCCCGGCGGCTCGCACAGGAAAAGGAAATACTTAGCACTTCCTTGTTCTATATGTAACCTTCAACTCGTCTGCCATCCGCTCCGCCTCAGAACAATCCCGAGACACAAAATCTTTTTCTACCACTATAAAAAAAATTAAAAATGTAATATTACTTCTTCATATGGGTCACACTACAGTGACTTGACTTCCAAAATCAACAAAAGCGCTTAGAAACAAGGGACTCCTTTTCGCGGAATAATTCATAAGTGGGAGTGTCAACTCTCGCGAGAAGATGTGTCTCCCTTCAACTACTGTAACGTATTATAACTTTTTCTTACGGAAAAGAAAAAATTATAGGGATACGGAGAACCGCCGTGGGCTGTAAAAGAAAACTTTAACTTGTGAACAAACTGGACCTGTTGTGGGGCGGTAGAAGTAGTTCCGGCGGGGGTGGGGTCAGGACTCCGGACGTCAGCGTCCGGCGCGCAGTTTAGTTTGGCGGTAGCGGATCTGCTCTTCGGCGCGGGCGCGATGTGGTCGCAGATGAACCGAGCTGCTGAGGAGTTTTACACTCGTCTCCTGCAGTGAGTTGTAGCCCTTCCTGCTGGCTAGATTGCGCGAACACCATTACTCCCTCCGGGTATCTCGATTTCTCTCCCTCAAGCCTCCTGCCGCAGCCTTGGGGATTGGCGCCTGGTCACTTCTCACTCAGTGCCGCATATTTTATAGACTAAGTCAGCTTTTCTGGGTCCCGGAGTTGGGCAGAGGCCGATTATCCACTCCGTCAGTGTGGGGTTGGCCCTGTGGAGGCTTGGTTGTAGTCTAGTTTAAGAGAAAATATCTACGTTATCGATCGCGGTGGAAGGTGACAATTTTCCAAGAGGTAGTGTATTCATTGTGAAAGTGCACACAACTTGCAATGCTATAGGCACCTTGCAGTATGTGGAAAACTACATGTTGGCATCCTTCATCTTTTTAAAAGCCTTGCTGTCGTCTATTCAAGATAGTTAGCATATGAGCCATAGTTACAGTGATAACGGGATGGTGTGTTGACTTTTTAAAGCACCTTTATTTCACTGTGCTCTAAGATTGCATTTATTCTCATAGTAAGGTCCCAGAACCAAAGGGGATTCCGTCTATTCCTGCATCCAAGTAAAAACTGAATCTAGTAGTTCTCAGATTTGAGCGTGCATCAGAATAAACGCAAGTGCTGTCAAACAGATTGCTGGGACCCCTCTCCCGGGTTTCTAATTTAGTAGATCTGGGTGGGGCTAAACAATTTGCCTTTCTAACAAAGTACAGGTGAAGCAGATGCTGCTGGCTTGACACCACACTTTGAGAACCACTGGTATAATCTAACCCCTTATTTTCTAAATGCTATAAATTTTCATCGTTTATTGCTTTTGTCCTGCTTACAAAAGTGCTCATTCTGGTCAATTTTTTGATCATTAATAGAATGAACTCTAGATTTTTTTTTTTTACTAACAATGTCTTGGATAGCATTCAGTATGAGAGCCTATAGGTCTGTTTTTTTTTTCAATTAACTGCTGTATAATATTTCATTTTATGCTTGAGAAAATGATTGTTGAGTGATTGACTAACATCCCTGAGTTATACATTGAAGACAAGTCCAAAAGAGCAAAAGTGAATCAGTCTCAAGCCTGTATCTCCTGTTTTTATTTTAGTAAGTCATAGAGTAGATAAAATAGTAAATGGTATCCTGAAACAATTCCTTTGGGTTCCTTTAGGTCTCTAAAGATTCTTTTTTCCGAGTGTAGAGCAAGCTGATGTGCATTTCGGTATATTGATGGTTTATAGTTTGACATGCTTTGGGACCACTATTTTAAAACTTTTTTTAAAAGATTTTATTTATCTTATTTTAGAGGGGAAGGGAAGGAGAGAAACAGCAATGTGTGGTTGCCTCTCAGGTGCCCCCTGCTGGGGACCTGGCCCACAATCCAGGCATGTATTCTGACTGGGAATCGAACCCATCACCCTCTGGTTCGCAGGCCCACACTCAGTCTACTGAACCACACCAGCCAGAGCTATTTTAAAACTTCCTTGACTGAAATGGTAATTATTAATGATATTCTACAGGGTTTTGCTTACATTTTTAAAAGAAAATTGTTTACCATTATCAAATGTACTAATGTTTTAGTAACAGCTCACAAATGTAGAGGGAGAATATATGCTTCCATTTTAGCCATGGAAATCTAGGACCTGGGACCCTTAAATAGCTTCACTGTGGAGGCCTGCTAATTCATTGGCAGGTCAGAATCCAGGCATTTTTACTTCCTAAAAATTTTGTGGTAAATTACATTTTAGTAGTAGCTAGTAATATGTTTTAAAAAAAGAGTAGAAGTAGGTACTCTTATTTACTACTGTCTCTTAGAAGCGGTTGTACCCGATTGTGGGCTGCAGTCTATTAATCTCTACTACATCTCCTTTTTCTCTCTTTTCCTTAACATAATACTCTTTTATGCTTTTTTCACTTCTCTTCCCAACATAGGACTGCCATGACTACTTTTGCATTTTGCTTTCCTCACTGTTGCCACATAGAGATGAAATGATTACTAGCATTTGAGTTGAAGTGATAATACTGTAACTCTATTTTTCACATGTAGTTCTGCATTCCAGGGAATTTGATGAAGAAAAGAAAGGAATCTGTAAAGACCCATTTATCTATGAGGTATGAAAAACTTATTTGGTTTTCAGTGTAACTCAATAATCCTAAAGTTGTGTTTTAAATAGTAGGGTTTATTGAAGTTAATTTACATAGAGTAAATTTCATCTTTTTAGAGTGTAGTTCTATGAGTTTTTACAAATGCATTCAGTGATATAATCAAGATATAGAACATATCTAACATCTCCAAAAATGTTCTCATGTCCCTCTATAGGTAACCCTTTCCTCTGTTCCCAGGCCCTGGCAACCACTGATGTGTTTTTTATCTCTTTTTTGCCTTTTCCATAATTTCATGTAAATAAAATCCTATAGTATGTAGCCTTTTGGGTTTGAGTATAATGCATTTGAGATTCATCTCTGTTGTTATATAGATTAGTAGTTCATTCTTTACATTGCTGAAAAGCGTTCCATTGTGTGGATGCCCTACAATTTGGTTATCCATTTACCAGTTGATGGACACTTGGATTGTTTCCAGGTTTTAATAGCTATGAATAAAGCTACTATAAACATGTACGGATTTATTAAGCATCTAACATATGCCAACCATTCCATAGGTAAACTACCCATAAAGATTAACCCATAAAATAATTAGTAAAAGTAAATTATACACTAAAAAAGAAATAAGCTGGGGAGAAATAGTCATATATGATAAGGGTTAATATCCATATATAAAAAACATATGATTCCAGTCAAGATGATGGCATAAGTAAATATGGTTCATCTCCTTGCACAACCACATCAAAATTACAATAAAAATAAGGAACCGCCATCATTCAGAATTCTCAGAAATCAAGTTGAATGGACATCAGACAACTGCAGAATTAAAGAAACCACATCCATCCAGACTGGTAGGAGGGGTGGGGATGCAGAACGGGTTGATCCCACATCCGTACATGGTGGATAAATATTTAGGAGAGAGATATCAGGAGTAGGGGGTCTCCCCAGCCCGGGGTTCCAGTGCCAGGAAATAAGTCCCCTAATATCTGGCTGCAAAAACCAGCAGGACTGAGTCAGTGGAAGAAACTACTGAAGTCCCAAGCAGTTCCCCTTAAAGAACCCACACATGGACTTACTCAGACTCATTCCCTCTGAGCTCCAGCACCAGGGTCGCAGTTTGAAAGGCATACAGGGAGGAAGCGAAGTGTCTGGCATTAAGGTGGGAGCTGGAGGACAGCTTTGTCCCAGATAGAAAGGCAGGCAGAGGTAGTTGTCCCTTTTCAGAGCCCTCAGCCCACAGAGCCACAGAGCCAGCAGGCAGGTGCCAATTCTGGCTAACACTGCCCTGCCCTGGAGATCCAGACACTCCATGCCACCCAACTTATGGACCCACCCAAAGTATTAACCGTGACTTTTCCATATAAATGGCTGGTCTTGGCTCATGTTTCACAGCTTCCTGAACCCTATCAAAAAAGCAACAGCCTACCTCATTAAGCACCTAGCCCCTGTACCTCTTGCTAAGTGGCCCCAGGCCAGGCACTAGCAGCAGCCAGCCTAGATTCCAGCTTGGCTTTGCCTGGGAATCTCCAAGCCCAGCAAAAGTGGGAGCCATCTAAGATTTCTTTATATCTCAGGCAGGGTGGCCCTGGCAGGAACACAGATGGTGGCTGACCTTAGATTGCATCACCTGGAAAACTCCAGTGCCTGTGTTCCCAGTGGACAGCTACAGACCATGTCAGAGCGCCACCACCTTGCCCTTGCACGGCTGATACTCCATGGAGAGTGGAGGTTGGTGGTCAGTGGTCATAGCCAGTCCTTGCAACTAACTGTCCTGGGTAAATCCCTCCCATTGACTTGCCAACAGCAACCAAGACTCCACTACAGGAGGAGGGTATCCTCAGCCAACATGAAAGGCACACCTCAAGTACCCAGCTTGAGTGATAGGGGAGGCTGTGCCACTGGACCCTATAGAACACCTATCAGATTAGTTCACACTACCAAGATAGGGAGCCATAGCAGCTCTACCTAATATACAGAAACAAACACAGGGAAGCTGCCAAAACAAGGAGACAAAGAAACATGACCCAAATGAAAGAACAGATCAAAACTCCAGAAAAAGAGCTGAATGAAATGGAGATCAGCAGTCTATCAGATGCAGTGTCAAAACACTTGTTATAAGGATGCTCAAGGAACTTAGGATCTCGGCAGCATAAAAGATCCAATCAGTAATGATGGATACACTAATTGAAATAAAGAACAATTTACAGGGAAACAACAGTAGAGTGGATGAAGTCAAGAACCAATGATTTGGAATATAAGAAAGTAAGAAACAACCAATCAGTACAATGAGAAAAATAAAGAATACCAAAAAAATGAGGATAGTGTAAGCAGCCTCTGGGACAACTTCAGAAGGTCTAACATTTGCATCATAGGGGTACCAGAAGAAGAGGAAGAGCAAGAAATTGGAAATCTATTTGAAAAAATAATGAAAGAAAACTTCCCTAATTTGGTGAAGGAAATAGACATGCAAGTCCAGGAAGCACAGAGAGTCCCAAATAAGATGGCTACAAAAAGGCTGACTTCAAAAAAATCATAATTAAAATGGCAAATGTTATTTAGGAAAAAGAAGATCAAAACTATGAACAATGAAATGGCAAAAATACATATCTACCAACAGTTGAATCTAAAAAATTAAGCAAACAAGAAAAACAGAGACAGAATCATGGATACAGAGAGGTTTGATGGTTGCCAGATGGGAGGGGAGTGTCGGGGAATAGGTAAAATGATGACGAGATTAAGAAGTATAAATTGGTAGTCATAGAATAGCCATGGAGATATAAAGTACAGTAGGAAATGGAGTAGCCATAGAACTTATATCCATGATCCATGGACGTGAAGAATGGTGGGGGGATTACCTGAGGGAGTGGGGGGTGCTGGGTGGAGGGGAGCAAGGAGGAAAATTGGGACAACAGTAATGGCATAATAAAGCAATTAAAAAAGTAAATATCATTTATACATTCATTTGATATATATTCAGTGACTGCATAATATATGCTAAGAAAAACCAAAAAGCTCTTTAAAATCAATAAGAAAAAGACAACTAGATTAGGACACAAATAATCACAGGAAGAAAAATACAAATATAGTTATCTTCACTGTCTGAATTCTCACTAACCAAACTCAGGAATTCATTAGATTCAGGTAAATGTATTAATCCCTCCCTATACGAATTCTTGCCACTTGATATCTATATTAATTTTCTAGGGCTTCTGTAACAAAGTCCCACAAATTGGTTTGCTTAAAACATCAGAAATGTGTTCTCTTAACAGTTCTGGAGACCAGGAGTCCGGAATCAGGGTGTTAATAGGGCCGTGTTCCCACTGAAGGCTCTGGGAGAGGTCCTTTCCTTGCCTCCTTGCTTTTGGTGCTTTCTCACAATCCTTTACTCTCTGAAATTAGTATCTAAATGCCTCAGTATCCAAAATAAGAAATTAAACTTAAGTAATGAGAGATATTTGTCAATAATAAGCATGTTAGAGACTTCACCTTCATTAGTAATCAAATAAATGAAAATTAAAACAACAGGATACTATTTTTTGCAATGAGATGGTAAAAATAATGAAAATACTCAAGTGTTGATATAAGTGATCAGAACACAAATATGTGGGTATGGTATATTTGAAAGGCAACTTGACAATATCAATATGATTTTATATATTCATATTAAGGAAGTAATTCAAGATGACCATTAATATTTATTATAGTAAATGACTTGAAACTACCTAGATGTCAAACAGTGTGAAATCAGTTATATGATGGTAGAGCCATGATACTGGACAGCCAAAGACCATTTAATGGCATGAAATTTCATGACATATATGTTTAAAATTTGTTTTAATCCTCACCCAAGGACATTTCTCATTGCTTTTAGAAAGAGGGAAAGAGAGAGAAACATCAGTTGGTTGCCTCCCATACACACCCAGACCAGGGATCACACGTACCTGGACTGGGGATCTAACCCATGACCTTTCGGTTATATGACGATGCTCCAACCATCTGAACCACAACAGCCAGGAGAGGAATATCCTATTTTTATTAAGCAAAATCCTATCTAGATAGCTAAATAAATGGATACATTTTTATTTACATAGATTGTTTATATGCCTGGAAAAAGTGCTGGCAAAAGTCTAATGGACCCTGGCTAGTGGAATTATAGATGAGTTTTTAAACATTTCTTTTAGCTTGCTATTTTCAGACTTTTCTATAGTAAATGTGTATTGTAATTGGGATGAAAGACTATATTTCCTATAAACCGATAAAGTTTTAAATTCCATATTCTAATCAGAAGAAAGGATAATATTTTTATAAAGGCTTAATTTTGTGGTACATAACAATAAATTCAGAAATGATTAGAGGATAAGGCAGTCAGTGTGATCCTAATTTAAAAAAAAAGACTTCATAAGGCAGAGTGCAATTTAGGTGGGCTTTGAAGCATGTGTAGGTATAGATATGAGCTACATTTTCTAAAGATGAGAAATAATATGGGAAAAAATTACTTGCATAGAATTTGTCTTTATTTTAAATATTTGTACAGATATTAAACACAAAACATTGCTTGACATCCTCTGTTTTTGCTAGGCTGATGTCCAAGTGCAGTTGATCAGCAAAGGTCAACCAAATCCTTTGAAAAATATTCTAAATGAAAATGATGTAGTATTCATCTTGGAAAGAGTGGTAAGTGGTTCTTGGCCTTTGTCATGTTTTATTGTTAATTTGGTTTTGTGGGAATAACCTCAAGTGTAAATATAGATTTTTTTAAAGATTGTATTTTTTTTATTTTAGAGGGGGAAGGAGGGAGAAAGAGAGGGAACAAAACATCAAGGTGTGGTTGCCTCTCACGTGCCTCCTACTGGGGACCTGGCCCACAACCCAGGCATCTGCCCTGACTGGGAATCAAACTGGTGACCCTTTGGTTCACAGGCTGGTGCTCAATCTACTGAGCCACACCAGCCAGAGCTCAAGTGTATGCATTTTTTTATCAGCATATTTAAAAGTGGATTCTAATTCTTTTAGGAATAAGTACACTGATGTTCAATAGAAATGTAATGTGAAACACATATGTAATTTAAAATTTCCTGGTAGCCTCATTAGAAAATAGATAAATGATATCATATAATATTTACTTTTAAGAACATTTGCGAATGGAATCATACAGTGTGTAATCTTTTGAGTTTGGCTTTCACTCAGTATAATGCCTTTGAGATTCTTCCAGGTTGTGTATGTATCAGTGGTTCATTTCTTTTAATTGTGAAGTGGTGTCTCATGATATGGATATACCACAGTTTATTTACCTATTCACCCTTTGAAGGACATTTGGGGTATTTTCAGTCTTCAGTTATCCCAAAAAGAGCAACTATGGTAATTTTTGTTCAGATTTTTATGTGCGCTTAACTTTACAGTAAGTACTCAGGTGTGGGATTGCTGAGTGTGCAATTAGGTTTAGTAATTTTTTTTATTTTAATATATCTGAAATTATAATTTCAACACCCAACTAATGTAAAAATCATTCATTAAATATTTCAAGTTCTTTTTTTTCATACTAGGTCTCTAAAATCCAATGTGTATTTTACATGTGTATCTCATTTCAAGTGCTCAATAGCCATGTGGCTAATGGCTATTGTGTATTGAATAGCACAGCACAAGTAGCTATGACTCATGAAGTTCTATTTTAATTTTGTGTAACTGTAACAAGAGGGAATTTCTTGCTTTGTATCACTTTATAATTACAACCTTAAACCTTTTTGTTTTAATTATGGTAACTGATTGGCAGTTGTGGTTTTTATTGAGTGCTGATAATGCTGTCACATTACAGGGTTGCTTAGGGCAACCATTCCTTTGGTTACATCATTTCCTGAGGTAGATAGGAATAGGCTGTAATAGGGGAAAGTGGATGTTCCTGTACAAGGACCACCTCTGTCTCCTTTAGAACCCTCATGCTGTCTCAACAGGCATGGTAGTGAACAAACAAACTCTTTATTTTAAATACACACACGAAGATTTTTCTGAGGAGGAGCTCCTTTGTCTTTTTTGTTAATGCATGGGTGTTATCAGTGCTTATCTGTGGTGGACAAATGCTAGGAAAAATTCACTTATATAATCATAAGTGCATTATGTGGTTGAATTTAGACTTGTGTTATGGGGAGAAGGGGAAATATATGTACATAAAGCAAAAGCTGAAAAAAAATGAAGGTGATCTGATGAAGATAAACTATCTTGAAAAGGGTAAAGATGAACAGAGGGCATTTGTGGAAAACTGGGCTAGGATACTGGGGAGAATGCAGCTTGGAGTTAGGAGTTAACTGGAATTCAGTGAGGCCCTGGCATTTTTGGGTAGGGAATAATTAAAATGGCCTTGGTTTCTGCAAAAGTCAGTAGGGCTTAATGCATGAGTGTTAGATACATAACTGTTGAAAAGTAGAACAGAGGGGAAAAATGATATTTCTTGGGTACCTCTAGTTCTAGGAACTTCTTGGAAAGCCAGGCCAGGAAAGGAGTGAAATCTAGAATATGGCAAAAGAAATTCAAAGTTGAGGTAGCATCTGAGCTTGATTCCTATTAAATCGGCAGAGGACTTACTGCTGAAGAGACTGCCTAGATTCAAATGTTGGCTTTGCACTCAGCGGCTCTGTTATTATCCTAGGCAAGTTATTTAGCCACTCATTGCCTATTTTCTTGTCTCTGAAGTGGGGTTAATAATAGTATCTATCTCAGGGCTTTTATGAGGAATAAAATAAAACCGACAGTGGTACCTGGCACCTAGTTATGCTTAGGAAATGTTAACTCATAATTGTTGTTATTGGCAAGACTAAGCTAGTTATCTGGTTAAACACTTGGATATCAGAATCCTATAACAAATGAGAGTTGATAGCCCTAACAGAAATAGCTTTAAGGAATCTTTGCATTTTGTTAGTGAGGAATCCAACAAAATCAGGGAGTTTCCCCTAGTATTTGGTCTTTAGCTTATTATTAAGTACTGTCGGAGCATTTTTTTTCTTATTGGCATCAGATGGTTCCTTCATCAGTAGCAACTCAGAGCAGTATCTTCTAATAGGAAATACTTCTGATAGCAAGATATGTTGGTACCAAACTGGTTTGTAGGTATGGTTTTTGCAATAGCCAAATCATTTGTGCTTAAAGTTTTAGAAATCAATGCATTATGTTCTAGCATAATGAAAAGTTGACTTTTATGTTCTTTTACCTGGCTAAATACTTTTTTAAAACATTTTTTAAAGCCTTTAGAAAAGGAAGAAACAAGTCATGTTGAAGAGCTACAATCTGAGGAAACTGCTATTTCTGATTTCTCTACTGGGGAGAATGTTGGCCCACTTGCTTTACCAGTTGGGAGGGCAAGGTAAGTTTTTTCTTAGTATCAGGATAGGAATAGAGGTGGAGGGTAGGACCTTAAACTGAAGCATTTTTATAAACATTTGGGGAAAAGATATATCTAACACAGGTCCCTCTTTGCTTTCTTCCTCCTCCCCCATATATGTATGTCCAGGTCTACTGAATATCCCACTGACCGTCCCAAACATGACCAAGAAGGCTGCAGCGATCTCCCCTCTCTCCAGTTTCCTATACTTTGCTGTTGCTTCTTAAATGTTTTCCTTGTGTCTAATCTGGTTCTCCTCCAGTCTTTCTTCCTCTGTGTTGCCAAGAAAGTCTGATCAAGTTTCTTCCCTGCTTATAAATCCCTCAGCAGTTCTCACTGCCTCATAATAACATCCAGATTCCTTTTGAGTGACACGTAGGAGCCTTCCTTGTCTAGTCTAGTGGTCTTCCACCACGGGTACCATGCTCAGTGTGGGCATTTGGAAATTTCAGGGGTACTTTTTGGTCACCATAATGATTGAGGGGAGCTACTGGCCTGGGCCATGGATAGTAAACATCCTGCAATGCATGGGGTTCTCTGGCCCAGTGAGGAATATCCTACCCTGTTGGAAACCCTTTGGCCGCCCTTCCTTGCCAGCTTCACTTCCTGCCTTTTCTCTGCCTGGCCTCCCCTAGCTCCAAAACCAAAAAGTCCTTGCCATCAAGGAGTTCTGGAGGATATAGTCATAAAAATAATAACATTTAGAGAATAACGACTGTATAACAATATTCACGAAGTGACCTTCCTTCATGATGGTTTTTGTTTGTTTTGCTATGTAGAAGCTTTTAACATTTTTATGTAGTTAAATTAATCAGCATTTTCTTTCATGGCATCTTGATTTTAAGTCACATTTGGCCTTTTTTCTTTTCTCTCCCACAACTTAAACATCATTTGTTTATATTGTTTTCTCCAGCCATTGTTTGTTGGGATTTACACATATGCTTATCATTTCTTTGCTCTTTATTTCTTCTTGCATTTCAGACCTTCCTTCTGGGATTATTGTATTTCCCTTTTGAAGTTCAGTCCCTTAGAAATTGCTTTCCTGAACATCTGTTGGTAATAAATTTGGTTTTCATCTGTTTAAAAAGAAATTAAACCACATTTTCAGTAACTTAATTTTGATATACTCTCAAATTTACAGAACAGTCACAAGAATAATATGGGTACTTCTGTATGTCCTTGACTGAGTTTCACAAGTTGTTCACATTTTGCTGTATCTGCTTTGCCACTCTTTTATTCCTTCTTCTCTTTTCTCCTCCTCCCCAACTCACACTATCTATGTAGTATATACATCCTACACACACCATTTTTTTAGTATGTTGGAGATACTGTACTTCTTTACCCCTAAATGTTTCACTATCTATTTCTTAACAAGTGCATTCTCTTATATAGCCACAAAACAATGATCAAAATCTGGTAATGTAACATTGTTACAATACTATTATTTAACTCACTTTCATTTCCTTAATGTGTCTCAATGACTAATAACTTGGAGTATCTTTATTGGCTCCTACTTCCTCTTTGGCTCCTACTTCCTTTTCCCCCCAGCTTTACTGAGAGAGTGACATATCCTGCTTATTTCCTTAGCTTAATCTCATACCATACTTCTGCTTTTACTGTATTGAGTTCCCTGCTCATAGCTCCCATCACTCTGTCACTTCCTGGTGTATGAATCTTGATCTGTTTCATGTGCCCATCTCTCACTTCTTCGTTGGGTGTAATATTTATGTGCATTCTGCCACTTAATTTTCAGGTTTTTATTTCTGGGAGACTCTTCATGAAGTGATATCTTTGGGAAAGAAAATCCTTGACTGATTGGCAATCTATACCTATAATTCATACTTTCTGCTCTTGTTTTCAAGGCAGTTAATTGGACTTTACACCATGGCCCACAATCCTAATATGACCCATTTGAAGATTAATCGACCAGTTACTGCCCTTCCTCCCCTTTGGGTAAGGTGTGACAGTTCAGACCCCGAAGGGACCTGTTGGCTAGGAGCCGAGCTTACCACAACAAATAACAGCATTACAGGAATTGTCTTGTATGCGGTCAGTTGTAGAGGTGAGAGCTCACTCGTACTACTCTAATGGGTGTATGTGTGTATTTATTTATTTGGTAGTTATATGTTCTGTGGTTTTTATTGAAAGTTGATATCATTAAGGGGGAGACACACACAATAGAACTTGTGTTAGCCACCACGAACGAATCTACTCCAGTGTGTAACTTGCAGCATGTTGGCAGCATTCCAGAAACAGATCTCCAAAAGTCTGGGCAGGAGTTTATGGCTGTTTTGTTTTAGTTTCATTTGATTTGTATATTTTTGAGAATTTACATTAGAGGATAAAAAAATTGAATATAGTGACAGTATAACTCCAATCTCATAGTAGGCATATAGTTATATTTTTGGTGGTAGTATTGACCTTTGTCCCACTTTTATTCTTTTTATAAACATTGCTTTCACCTATGATTTAAAATTTAATCTCAGCTATTATTAATGTTAGGTTGTGGTACCCTCAGAATTTGAATTTTCTAGCACTAAGATGTAATTTTGAACTGTAAATTTTTTCTTTTTTCTTTCATGCCCCATAGTTGATAAAAATTATTCTATAAATCTTGAAGAGTTAAAAAATTCACATAAGAAAAGACATCACTTGTCTACTGTAAGTATTTCTCTTCTCATATTACTTTCTTCAAACTGTTACTGACCTACTTTCTAATTTAAAGGTTTTTTACTCCTTAATATGACTACATATTTTTCTATAGTATCAAAATGTTTGTATTTATTTTTGTATCAGCTAATGACTAAAATTAAAATATGTGTCTTCTTGCCTTTTTGCTAATCTTTGTGTTTAAAAATTATTGCCTTATTTTTCCATTTGGGATGAAAGTATGGCACTTTTTCTTCTTTTGGGAAAAGAATCAAAGTGGTTTTGAAAATGGGCTTTGGTTATGTGAAAGCATAGCTGCTGATGTGCTGGATGCACTTCTCCAGGTCACAGCCAGGGGCTTTGCCCAGTACGAGCTCCTGAAGTCCACTACCTTGGATGATACGGTCCCTGCATCACAAACTACGATCACTTTGGATATTTCCTGGAGTCCTGTGGATGAGATTCTTCAGACCCCTCCACTCTCTTCAACTGCAACTCTGGTAGGAGTGAGCCCTGTTTTTTGTTGAGTTTCCTCAGTGTAGGTTTACTTTTAACTTGCTCGTTGCTGCTGCTGCATGTTTCCAGCTCCAGCCCCAGCCCTTCTTTGACAGCTTGCCTCTGAAGTACCCAGAGAAGCCAGTGGAGGTTTTGCCAGGTGATCTGATGTATCAGTTGCCCACAACACTTCAATTATGTAACTTAAAAATTTTCCAGTGATTAATGAAGTCCTGTGAGTTGGGACTCAAGTGAAATGATCAAAATGTCTCCTCTCTGCTCCTCTTTTTATTATTTCTATTTTTCAATTATAGCAGACATTCAATATTATATTAGTTTCAGGTATAGAGCATAGTGGTGAGACATTTATAAAACTTACCAGGTGGTTTTCCTGGTAAATGTAGTATCTACGTGGCACTATACGCAATTGTTACAATATTATTTACTGTGTTCCCTATGCTGTACTTTTCATCCCCATCATCTGTGCTAGTCTTAAAAGAGTGCCTATATTGGCAATGCATCAAGAATTATTATACTAGTAAGCCTTTTCACCTTATAACACTTCTAGGAATCTGCCTTAGGAAATTAATCACAATTACTAACAAAAATATATGTACAAAGCTATTCACAATGATATACCTGTGTTTCTAAAATATTAAAAGCACAACCTGAATGTTCAATAGACAAGACTACAGTTGATTTCTATCATGAAATATTACACATTCTTGGGGATGGCTGGAGTAGAGGGAAGTGGTGGGGGGATGGAGATAACTGTACTTGAACAACAATAAAAAAAGAAATGTTACACATTCTTTAAAAATCATTATTTAAAGTATCTTTAATAATAATAGGAAATGCTTATTGTTAAGCAGAAAAAAGCAGAAAGTACAAAAGTGAACATATAGTAGAATCTCAGCTATGTTTTTTTAAAGATTTTATTAATTTATCTTTAGAGGAGAAGGGAAGGAGAGAGGGAGAGAAATAATAATGTATGGTTGCCTCTCGTGCGTCCCTTGCTGGGAACTGGCCTGCAACCCAGGCATGTGCCCTGACTGGGAATCGAACCAAGATCCTCTGGTTCACGGGCCTGCGCTCAATCCACTGAGCTACACCAGCCAGGGCTCAGCTGTGTTTTAAAAAATGTACAGAGCAGCCTGGATAGTGTTAATAATGGTTCCTCAGAGTAGTGAGGTTGTGGGTAATCATATTCTTAATTTTTTTCTTTTCCTTCAGTAGGTATTCACATACAACAGAATCAATTTTTCTTTTTTTTATTCCCCTTTTTTTATAAATAATATCTTAGGGTTGTAACCATTGACCTCTAGGTAGGTTTTGTACATGGTTGGTTTCATTAGAGTCTAATGAACATACTTATAGGGAGGTTTTAGTTTTGGTGTGTGGTAATGCTAAGTTTATCATTAAGTCTGGAGCTATATTCATATTTCTCCTACTTGTCCTTTGGAAATCCAGTGGGAGGGAGCAGGGGAGTGTGTAACGAGAGCAGCTGTTCCGCGCAGGTGCACTTGTGGGGAAGAAACGGCATTTGGTGGCCTGACTTTAGGTCACTGTGTTGGGATGGGCAGGGTCTGTGGTAATTGTGTGAGAGGTTCTAAGTGAGGTTTTGCCCTACATTTTCAATTTATTCATGCTTTATGAAATATGTATTTTTAACACACGGGTAGTTTGAAATGTAAGTAACTATGACCCTTATGCTGAGAACATGAGATTACCAGTGAAAACTGATTTTGGGAACTTTCTAGAATATTAAAGTGGAATCGGGAGACCCCAGAAGTCCTTTGAGTCATCTTCACAGAGAACTGAAATTTCTCCTTGTGAGTATCCTCCTGGAATTTGTCACTTCCATTAAATCTCATGTTTTCATAAAAATGTTTGCTAATATCATTGTTGTTTAGTTTTGCATTCCTCAAAATTTATTCCAGATGTCGTGTATGCATTGGATATGCTTGGCAGTTTGGGCAGTTTAACTTTTCTATGTGGTAGTTACCCTAACATTTAAAGGGAGCACTAGTCAGATCATTAATAGCTACAGTTCTCTGACATTTTTTACTGGAGTGTTTGCTTTTGTTTATGTGATGGCTTCCCCTCTTTACAGGTGGGTTAGCTGCCAATTTATTTCAAATGCATGTGTAATCTGCTTGTTGATAACTTGAGGTTTTGAAAAATATACACATGTATATTTTAATCCTCACCCAAGATATGTTTATTGATTTTTAGAGAGAGAGAAACATTGATAGACTGCCTCCCATACGTGCCCTGACTGGGAATCAAACCCACAACCTTTTGGTGTGTGGGACAACCCTGTCACCAACCAAGCCACCTGGCCAGGGCAATAAGTTGTGTTTTGATTGATACTAAAGATTAATGGGCATGTGTTTCAAGAATTTTATGTGTCAGTAATTTTAGCTCTACTCTACAAATTGAATCTCAAGAAGGCGCCTCATTTTAATGCAGTAGTAATTCCAAGTGTCTTCTTGGCATACAAAGTCAGTTATAGGTGATCACTGCCCTACTTCTTTCTTTTTTAAAAAACAACTTTATTGAAATATGTTACATCCCATAAAATTCACTTGTTCAATGATTTTTTAAATATTTTATTTATTTATTTTTAGAGATAGGGGAAGAAGGGAGAAAGAGAGGGAGAGAAACATCAATGTGTGGTTGCCTCTTGCATGCTGCCAACTGGGGACCTGGCCTGCAATCCAGGCATGTGCCCTGACTGGGAATTGAACTGGCGACCCTTTGGTTCACAGGCTGGCACTCAATCCACTGAGCCACACCAGCCAGGGCTATTCAGTGGTTTTTAGTATACTTACAGAGTTATATAACAATGACCATCTTTAATTTTAGACCGTTTTCACCACCCCCAGAAGAAATCCCGTAGCCATTAGCAGTTACCTCCCACAGCCACCAACTGCTGGCAACCACTACTGTACTTTCAGTAGTACTTTGTTTCTTTTTATTGCTGAATAGCTGCCATTGTATACATATATCACATTTTGTTTATACATTTATCAGCTGATGAACATTTAAGTTGTTTCTATCTTTTTGCTATTCTGAGTAATGCTGCCATGAACAGTCATGTACATGTTTTTGTGTGACATCTTTTCACACGTCTTGGGTGGATTTGCTATGTCATGTGTTAACACTAACCTTTGGGGGAACTGCAGACTGTAACTGTTTTCCAAAGTGGCTGCACCACTTTACATTCCTATTAGCAGAGTACCAGGCCTCAATTTCTCCATATCCTTGCCAACACTTGGTATTATCTGCTTTTGTTTTGTTTTTGTTTATAATCATCTTATTGGGGATGAAGTGATATCTTGTTATGTGGCAGTGCCCTGTTGGCTAATGACTTTCAGTATCTTTTCATGTCCCTATTGGCAGCTACCTTTTTTTAGCTTAATCTAACATTCTACTTCCACTTCCACTGAACGCCCCCACCCTCACCATATTGAGCCCCATGCTCGTAGTAGCTCCAGTCCTGTCATACTTTGTCATTTTCTGGTGCATGTGTGTCTTGATCCACTGGGTGCGCCCTTCTCTCACCTCTTTCTGGGTGAGCTCTCTGTGAAATGTTTTGCTTAGGATGGTTGCACTAATCCCCTAGAATGGCTTGGGTGCCTTGCTTTGTGCTGCTATAGAACTCCAACAACTCTTGTCAGAGTGTTTATCAATCACAGTAATTTGTCTCATCTTTCTTTCTTACTAGACTTCAGTGCCAAGTACCCTGTTGTGCCTTTAGCATCCTGTTAGTACCAAGCATTCTAAATAGCTTGGTACTATTATTATTATTATCATTATTATTGTCATTATTTCTTCCTATTATTATTTCCCCATTTGTGCAAAACTTGGTACTTTTTCTTCCCTTCTCACTTTTCTTCTTGAAAGCTCCCCTTCCAGGATTATTCCTGTGGGCCACCATCATCTTTCTACCCTCCTTTCTCTGCCTTTCTCTCTGCACCTGGTGAGATATACAGATCACTTGTACATTCAGTGATTTGACTAATGCCTTTATGAGGGAACTCCAGATCCCTTCTTTAAGCTGATTCTAGTTCCCATCTTTTCTTCTTCCACCAAATTATTTACAATTCCAGTAGAGGGTTATTGCTTCAAATTCAGTATGTCTAAAGTGAAACATGAAATCTCCAAACTAGATCTCCAGAATAGGAACCTCTGTGTGGTTCCACTATTCCTTCAATTTCACTTATTTATTGGCCCTTGAACAACTTGGGGTCCACCCCCAGCATGTTTGGCAGTTCATAACTTTTTACTTCCCTGAAACTTAACTATTAATAGTCTTCTGTTAACTGGAAGCCTTACCAATAACATAAATTGTTGATTAACACATTTTATATGTTATATGTATTATACTATATTCTCACAATAAAATTAGAGAAAAGGAAATTTTTAGAAAATTATAAGGAAAAGAATATACATTTGCTGTATTTACAGGGGGGAAATCTGCGTATAAGTGGACCCATGCAGTTCAAACCCCTATTGTTCCTGGGTCAACTGTATTTTACTTAAGTAAGAACTATCCATGCCACAGCCACTTACTACCATGGCTGGAAGCTGCCACTCTGCCCTGTGCCAAACATGGGGTGCTAGATGGCTTAGTTATTTTGTCTGAGGCATCAGTACTGGTAAGTGAAAGACCCGGTTCAAAACTCATTTGAATATGTGTCTGTCTGACCCAAAAGTCCATGCTTTGTTATAATCTCTCTTATAAATTCACAGAATCTTAAATACGCATAGGGACATAGCCTCTCCAAGTTCAGTTTTCTGTATGGTAATGAAAGGGTAGGATTTTTTCTTTTCTTTTATTGCACATACATTCTCTCTCTCTCTCTTTTCCTGGTATATACTATTCTTTTCTTCCTTTGAAGTTTCACTCACTGTGCCCATCTTAGTTAAAGCTTGTATCACCTCCCTCCTGGACCACTTTAATGATCATTTATTGTTTCTCAGCAGGGACACTATTGGTGTTTTGGGTAGGACCATGTTTTGTGGTTTGGGACCTTTGTACACGTTGCAAAATGTTCAGCGTCTTTGGCCTCTATCACATTAAGTGCTCAAGATGCTCCTGTACCCCCAGATATCATGACACCAGAAACGATCTGCATATTTTTCCAAATGCCCTATGAGGGTAGAGGATGAGGTCAATTCTGTTGAGAAGTGTTTTACCTTCTCTTTTCCTTTGACTCAATCCTGGGTATTTCTGATGGAGGAATTCTGGATTGTGTCATTTACTTGCCAAAAAATTGAGTGGCTATTGTCTTCCACATGAAATAAAAAATATTTCCAAGTTTTAAGGTCACTATTCCCCTGAATCCCCTTTTCTTTGTAATCTTCTCGTGTTCCCTAGGTGGTGTCTCCTCCTTGGTTAGAATCATCCCACCCTCTTCATCTCATTCCATGCTCCTTCCCTGCTCTGGAGCCGATGGTTCTCCCATTTGGATCTGAGCTGAGGTTTCAAGTTGTTCCCCTGGCTATTCCAGCATATCTTGACTTCCTTTCCTTAGTACTTCAGTTTAAATATTGCACATATGGACATGTACATTTATATTATTTTTATGTAAACTTCAGTTCGCTTTACATTTGTTGCTCTCAATTATTTCATCTGTATTATCAGTCCTTCTTAACCAAAATTACAAGCATCTTCAGGGCAGGCTCATCAGCCTTGCGTCCTGTAGCATCTGCACACATGGCACCGTGGTTTAGAACACGTCTTTAGATGTGTGTCCTGGCACTGTCAGTTACTAATTGTTTTTCCTGAAGCAAGTTACCTTAGCCTCTCTCAGCTACAGTAAAGTGTAGATGAGTGGTATTATCTGCCTCATAGGGTTTTTGTGAGGATTAAATAACATACTACAGGGTCAGCTTTAGCTCAAGCAGTTACTTCATCATGGCAGACAGTAACATACTACATATGAAACACTTAGAACAGTTTCTGGCATGTGATTAAACACTCAAGAAATACTAGTGTTATTAAATATATCCTTACTGATTAAATTGCTTTCTGCTAACAAGCTTTTGGGTTTTTTAAATCTCCCATAGGTTTTGGCTGATGGTTTAAGGACTGGTATAACTGAATGGCCTGCGCCTCTGGAAGCAAAATCCGCTGTTGACCTTGTGCAGGAATTTCTGAATGGTGTTTGTTTTCCTAATTCATGCTTCTACATTGTTTATTTTTCTTAATTGGGAATATATACTTGCTATATTTAAATATAAGTTGTCTTTTTAGGCTTAATATTTGTTTCGGTTGTGATATATAAACTACGAAGTCTGTCATGGTCACAAGGTTGGCTCTCATTCTGAATTGCTGATGGTAACAGCCTAAGGAATTTTAACAGTAAGATTGAATTTAAAATTTATATACCACAGCCATATGTGAGATTGTAGGAGAAGAGGAATGGAACAGTAACCTTAGAGCACCTACCACGTACGCAATACTGTGCGTCAGGAGCTTTCCCTCTACCTCAGTTCATCCTCACACCCCTACCTAGTGGGTATCTATTATGACTTCCACTGGGGACTTATGTAATGTGCTAAAATCCCCAGTTATACTTTTACTGTCCTCATTTACCACTTGCAAATAGAATTAGAATGGAAATAATTTTGAAAGCAGGAAAATAATATCCAGAATTAATAAGCTTTTTGCCACTTTCTAGACTTAAATAAGCTCGATGGATTTAGTGATTCAACAAAAAAAGACACAGAGGTGAGTGACTGTTAGCATTTAGAAATGTACACTGAAATAGCTTTTAAAATGTGGTTGTACAGTTAGTTGTCTTTCATGCTGTGCTATCCATGTCAAGTGGACCTGGTACAGCAGAAGCAGTGCTTTGGTCTATGATGGCAGCCCTGGTGATTGTTTTTCTTAAGGGCTGACAAATATTTTTTAACTGAACTAATACATTTGCATTATTTCTCAAGTGCAGAGAATTAGAAATGAATATGTTAAAAAACTATAACATGGTTTTACTTTAGTGTATTAATATAAGACATGTTAATGTGCTAGATAGAGATGGTATTACTAAATTAAGCTAATTGTGTTGTCATTTGATGCATGGGAAAATGGAAATGATAGTAATTTAATTAAATATTTTAACATGAAGGGAAGTTGGTGCTTGTTTTTAGGCATTACAAACAATTTTAGTGGCCCAGTTCTTCGTTGTTTATCGATTTGTAGCTCCCTGTAGTGCATGAAGTTGTAGAAAATTCATTCATATCTTTTTTTGTGTACGTTCATGGGTCCACATTTTCTCAGAGCAGCATTTGAAAGCTTATTGGCCTTAAATTATTTCATTAAACAAAATTACACTGAGTATTCTCTGACACTTTTTCAGATGGTGAAGCAGGACAGTGCTGCGCTGGACCGTTCCATCGAATGTCTTTTCACTGTGCGGTGTGATCTTGATTTTGCTGAACAGCTGTGGTGCAAAATGAGTAGTAGTAGGTGTCTGTCGTGACTGGACAGTAAAATTTTTTCTTTTTACTTCTTAGGTTTGCCTTTTCTTTCAACTATAAGAGAATGTTTATTTACAAAGTCACAGAGGTAAAAGTGGTCTAACTATAGAAGACATGGACTCAGAGAACAATTTATAGGGGCAAAAGTAGGGCCCTTGGAGCTTAGGAGAGAGGAAGGTGAAGGTAACCGCATGAGGGGCTGGGGCAGAAGAAGAGGAGGGGAGAGGCATGGGCATGCTCCCTGGAGGGAGAGTGCACCAAGGTTTGCTTTTTTTTTTTTTTAAGACTATTTATTTTTAGAGAGAGGCGAAGGGGGAGAGAGAGAGAGAAGGAAATAAACATCACATGTAGTTGCCTCTTGCGTACCCCCCACTGGGGACCTGGCCTGCAACCCAAGCATGTGTCCTGACTGGGAATGGACCTGGCAACACTTTGCTTCACAGGCCCGTCCTCAATCCACTGAGCCACACCAGCCAGGGTCAAGGTTTACTTCTAATTAAGTCTTTTGGGAATGATACAGTGTGTACTACTAGTTTTGTGTGTAAGTCTAGTTCCGGTTTCACAAACTTATGCACTGGCACATTCTACTCAAGAATTGTGCTAATCATATAAGGCAGTTGGTAGAATCTATTCATCTTCCTCAAGTATAAGACTTGGGGGGGGTTTAAGCTGTGTTTTAAAAAAATTATTTATTTATTTATTTTTAGAGGGGACAGGAAGAAGATAGAGAGGGAGAGAAACATAATGTGTGGTTGTCTCTCATGTGTCCCCCTCCGGGGACCTAGCCTGCAACCCAGGCTGTGCCCTGACTGGGAATCGAACCAGGAACCTTTTGCTTCTCAGGTCCATGCTCAATCCACTAAGCTACACCAGCCAGGGCTTAAGCTGTGTTTATATGAACCAAAACATATACCTTAGTGCAATTATAATTATTAGAGAAAGGAAAAGATATTTCTCAGTATTTTACTAAGTGTGTTATTTTGTGGCAATAAGTTTAATTTGTTTCTTTAAAAATGCATTGTCTTTTCTTTTTGCCATTTTTGTTCTTTTCCCCATCCATACAGTAGAGATACTTATCTTCATTCGTGTGGCCTTAAGATTAATGACATATTTGATCTTCAGAAATACCATGAAAATAATGTTCCTGACTTGTTTTTCAAGGTGTGATTTCGTATCAAGACTTGGTGAAGTGTTTTACATTGATCTACCAGAGTCTACAGCGTGGTGACATACAGCCATGGGTAGGTTTAGTGGCTTTCGTTCAGTGTTTTCGCAGTAGTATGGCACAGTGGTTAAGGCACAGGCTCTGGAGCACACTGCTTGACGCTGAATTCCAGTTCTGTGACTGACTTACTAGCTGCGTAAACTTGGGCAGATGCCTTTATTGCTGTGGGAGCTGGTTTCCTCATCTGTAAAGTAGTGACAGGAATAATCCCTACCTCAGAGTGTTGTTTTAGGATTAAACAATTAATTTATCTAAAGCTCTTAGCACCCAGCTAATAGTAAGTGCTCAGTATTTGTAAGCTACTATGTTATCATTGTTACTATTGCTGTGAATAACAATTCTCATATATTACTGATGAAGGTACAATTTGGAACACTCTCTAGAAATCGGTTTTCATAATGATCCTGAAAATGTGTCATGCCATTTCAGTCAATAATTCTTTTCTTAGGGTCCATCCTAAGCTTATACACAGAAATGTGTATTGAGATTTTATGTATCAGAATAATCATTAGAGCTTCAGTCAGAGTAGCAAAAATTGTGAATAACCTAAATTTCCACTATTAGTGAAATGATTAAGTAAATAATAATATAGCCATATAATGGCACATGTAATAGTTGCTAAAAATGGTGCTGGCCCCCGTGGCCCAATGGGTCAGTTGGTTAGAGTGTCATCCCAATATGTCAAGATTATGGATTTGCTCCCTGGTCAGGCACATACAAAAATCAACCAATGAATGTAGAAATCAGTGGAACAACAACTCAGTGTTTCTCTGTCTTTCTGTCTGTCTCTCTCCCTTCTTCTCCCTTCCTGTCTGTCTCTGAAATCAATAAAAATAATAAAATGCAAAAGATTATAATGAAAATTAGAGATCATAGACAATAGCGAGCTAATATTAAATATTTTAGGTATGTTTAAAATTAATTGTTTAACATTCAAAACATACGTTAGATCCGTAAATTCACAGCCTTTTACAATTTGCAAATGATCAAGTTAGTGTGTTGGATAGTGTAGCCAGTAAGAAGCTCCCTATGACACATGCATGGACCATTAAGGGAGAATTTGCTGCCGCAGCAGATTTTCAGTATAGTTGAAGATGTTTGGGCAAAGATGCTCAGTAGCCCTTAACCAGGGAAAGAGAATTCCTAGTTGTAGAGCTTCAGCGGACCAACTCTGTCTTCTTTTTGGTGGAATTGCACCTGGGGGTGATAAGTTTAAACCCTTCTTAATTGCTTTGGACTTGAGCAAATGAAGTAGGAATGACACCAGAGAAACTCTGTTTGTGACTTGGGGGATTTTATTCAAACAGTTAAAGTATCAGGAGACTAAAGATGCAAGCTAATAATTTTTAGCTTGTAGCTAATGCAGTGTGCTCCTGTTTTGCTTATTGGATTTATTCATGACTTTGTAAAATTTTCTTGATTTCTAGCTCCATAGTGGAAGTAACAGTTTACTCAGTAAGCTCATTCATCAGTCTTACCATGGGACCATGGACACAGTTTCTCTCAGTGGGACTCTTCCAGTTCAGATGCTTTTGGAAGTTGGCTTGGATAAACTAAAGAAAGATTATATCAGTTTTTTCATAGGTAAGTCCCTTTTCTAGCTCAAAAAATTAAAAAGTACATCATAGTTGTCAGCCCATAGATATTTTCAGATTTTATCTTTCTACTCGTTCCTAGTCATTTGGAGTGCTGGCTTTGCCCTTGGTTCACTGTGAAACAAACACTTTTGTTCTCTGGGCCTTTAGTTTCTCCCTCAATGTAGGTATTAGATTAAAGATTCTTATAGTGTTTGTTTTTAGTTCAAACATTTTGAGATTCTATGAGGATAATGTAGTAAATAAAAACCCTTTAATGAGGTGCTGTTTTTTTTTTAAGATTTTATTTATTTATCTTTAGAGGGGAAGGGAAGGAGAGGGGGAGAGAAATATCAATGTATGGCTGCCTCTCGTTATCCCCTGCTGGGAACTGGTCCCCTTCTGGGAACTGGCCTGTAACCCAGGCATGTTGTGCCCTGATTGGGAATTGAACTGTGATCCTTTGGTTTGTAGGCCCGTGCTCAATCCACTGAGCTACACCAGCCAGGGCCTTAATGAGGTGCCGTTTTAATACCCAGTATGTAGTTGTTTTTATTAGAGCAAGCTGCCATCATTTTTTTTTTTTTTAAAGATTTTATTTATTTATCTTTAGAGGGGAAGGGAAGGAGAGAGGGAGAGATATATGTTGGTCTCTTGTTTCTCGGGGGGCTGCCATCATTTTTAGAATAAGTACTAGTATGTCTTTATGGTGTAATGTGCCAGAAAATTTGACTACTTCTGGTCAACTATTTAGCTCGAGCATCTCTTTTATGTATGAACTACGAAAAAATTTTTACTTAGATTCTTTAACTTGGAATCGATAATACCTAAAGCTTATTTTCATGTTTTTTTCATAATAGGTCAGGAACTTGCATCTTTGAATCATTTGGTAAGTTTGTTTTTTTTAATCAAAACTTGATTTTTCTTTTATTCATTCATTCTGTATATAATTATTAAGTACCTAATTTGTGCCCCTGTGTCCTAGGCCCTAAGGAACAGATAAATGAGACAATACCCATATTTACTGCTGCCTAGTAACTAGACAGACAAAAAAGCCCATCTTAGTGTCATTTATCATTCTCTATGAATTTGCGATAACTGACATACAGCTGTATCCTGCTCAGGCCAACGTATTCCCACAACTCATTTATCTAAAGTGGTTAGGGAATGCCTTTCTTTGATAGGCCCTATAAAGGAATTTTTGTTTTATACTCTCTTGACCTATTCATATTATACACAAATTCCAAAGAATTTATAATGTTTTTTAATATATTGCTTCAAATGAGACTTCTGTGATAAAAGGGCACTTGACTTGGGGTGGTGAGCATGCAATACAATATACAGATGGTATATTATAGAATGATACTCCTGAAACCTGTATAATTTTATTAACCAGTATCATCCCAATAAATTCAATAAACAAAAGACAAACTTCTGGGTTTCAGGGTCATGGTTACAAGCTTTTGTATTTTTCTAGTGTCTTTAGAAAGTTTAGGAGATTGAACAGCATCTGTACTGACCCTTGGCATTTGATGGAAAATGCTTTTAGAAAATGAATCTACAGCATCAACTTGTTTGTCATTTGTCTTATAAAAATACAAGATCCAAAAACTATAACTGTATCTGTTGTGCAAAGTAAGACTCAACTGAATTTTTTTGAGGTTTAATTTTTGCTCTTCAAATTTTAAACATTTTCTATATCTCTTTAGTGGAAACATGCTCTAACAACAACTGTAAATATACAAATATGTATTATATATATAGCATATAAACTGAGTCTGGCACAAATAACGCCCCTTTTTAATTTCATATAAATCTTTGATTACAAAATCATAAGCATGTAATTTTGTAAAACAACAATATCACTCAAGCACACCATATGACATTTTAGATGAAATGTTCAAATTGCTGTCTATCTCGTGTGAGACCTTTACGTACTCTACCAACTACACTCAAGGAAGCCTTACTTCTGCCAGACCCTGTATGTATATGTAACATCTATATACGTATATATATATATGTTAATGGAGGTCCCAGAGGGAAATGTTTTGATACATATTTTTAAACTTAGAAAAATAATAAGATTTTTGAAAGTTAGAATACTTTAGAGGGCAAATGTATCCTTACTCTCATTACCCAAATATGAATACTCTAATTTTTATGAATTCCCCTGTAGTCATTTTATATGCCTGTTTTTTAAAAAAATATGATTTGACTCCAAACTTCTGACACAATTGTCCTTAAACTTGAAAGTCTCCTAGAAGGCTTGTTAAAATGCTAATTCCTAAGCCCCAGTGACTCCGTAGGTCTAGGGCTCAATGATATGTCTTTATAAACAAGCCATCTCCTACTCTAAATAACTGATGTTTTTCCTTACTATATTTGTTTTCTATTACTGCGTGACAATTTACTACAAATTTTAGCTGAGTTCTCTCTGCTCAGGGTTTCACAAGGCTGAAATCAAGAGGTCATCCTGCCGCATTTTCATTTGGAGGCTTAACTAGGGAAAGATCCACTTCCAAGTTCCCTTATTTGTTGTTGGTAGAATTCTTTTTCTTGTGTCTTGATGACAAAGGTCCCCATTTTCTTTCTAGCTGGCAGCCCTGGATCAGTTTTAGGTCCTAGAGGTTGCTTGTGGGTCCTTGCTATGTGGCACTGTCCACAACATTACAGGTAGTTTTTCCTCAGACCCAATGGGATAGCATCTCTAATGCTTCACCTTCTACAGAGCTCACCTGATTAGGTCATAGTAATATGTATAATCTGTCTTTTCATTGATTCACAGTTCATCAGTTAGTAACCTATTCACAGGGGTGACATCTCATCACATTCAGAGGTTTTGGCCTCACTCAAGGGGGAGGGATTATACAAGATGGGCACTGCAGGGAGCGGGAATCTTGAGGACCATTGTTGAATTCCACCTACCATATTTACCATGGCCTATTTTCTTAGGATGTGTTCTCAGAAATAGGGTTAAAAGGTCTGAGCATTTTGTGATGCCTAGCAGATACTGCCAAATTTCTTTTCTGAAGGGTTGTACTAATTTACCAATAATATGTGTGAGTGGAATCTTATCAATACACTTGCTTAATTTCTTGGTACTTCACATTTACTACCTATTTTTAAAGGTAGACACTTCCATCAACCTAGCAAGAGTATTGAAGTTAAGAATTATCTTGTGGATTTGCCGTTTATTCTGTTTGGAGAGGTTGGTGGGTGGCATAGTCACCCACTTGGGTCTCCTTTGTGAAGCAGTTCTGTGATTTGCCTTCACCAGAGATTATGTAGAATGGTTTCCTTAGAATATTCTCAGTGAGGACTTTACTTACAGATTAGAGAAATAGTATTAAAAGGTGGTAAATTCTATCTAGCTGCCTCCTGTTTATTTCCCCCTATGAATGAATTATCCAAACTTAGGTTTAGCAGGCAGAGCCATATTCTTTCTAGAGATTCTCCTTAATTAACTCCCTATCTTGCTTATACTTTTTTCTCTCTAGGAATATTTCATTTGTCCATCAGTAGATATACAAGAACAAGTTTATCGTGTTCAAAAACTCCACCATATTTTAGAAATAATAGTCAGTTGTCAGCTTTTTATTAAACCTCAACATGAGCTCCTCTTTTCTTTAACACAGTAAGTATTTCTCTGTTGTTTTTACTTATGTAACAGTATTCTCTTTTGAGATAGATGCAGCCAAAATATATGCCTATTTTATTACCAATTAGAACAAAATCTGTGCACCCCATCTTCAGAGTAGCAAAATGGTTCTATGTCACTGTCATAGGAAGGAAAAGGCCTTGAATTCAAAAGAAATCAGTTTAACACTTGGCTCTAGCACTTCCTAATTTCTAGAGGAAGTTTCCTTTCACTGCATTTTGTTTTCTCATGTATAAAAGTAATCTAATAACCTTATTTGTTTGTTGTCAAGATTAAATGATGTAATGTATATAAAGTTCCTGTCACTTAATATATGCTTAGTAAATGATAGTTCCTTTTCTTTACTAGTTCAAACTACTTGCCAGTTTTTTGTATGGTAACTGAATGGAATTAATATGACCGGACCTCTATCAACAGTATTGCTGTAATTTTAGAGATTTCTGCCAATGAGTTTGACTAAAATTAGTTTGGAATAACTCTCATCTGTGCATCACTGGTATCTTATGTGTGATGGGAGTCTCAAACTGGAAATAAGTGAACCACGCAGTGGCAGGACTGGATTTCTTTTCTCTGTGAAAGGAAGTATATCTCTGCCTGTTCCAAAATTAGAATTTGCCTCGATTGTAAATGGAAAATAACTTATTTTTTTCCATTAAAGATACGTAATATAAATAACTTTAATTCCCCAGACTCTGAAAACCATGGAGACTACATCTTTTTCTTTTGCCTCTTGGCTTTTTTTCTCTCTGATAGCTCTCTCTCCTCATGTAAGCCCTTATTTGGGCTCAATTAAAATGTATTCTATATCTATTACTGATTTTTAAAAAGCAGATGATATTTTCTTCAACTAAAAAGAAATGACCAATGTTTTGTTGGGAGCGGGAGTATTGTGTGTTGGTTTTTTACTTTTGTGTCCCTGAAATTATTCTGTTGTTGATGTTGTGGTTAGTGGTATTCAATAAAATGTTTACTGTATGAGTTTTAGACTTCTTCCAAAGAAGCCTATATCTCCAATGGCATCCCTTTCTTAAAGAGGTTCATTTTTTTTACTTTTATAGGTCCTGCATAAAATATTATAAACAAAACCCTCTTGATGAACAACACATTTTTCAGCTGCCAGTCAGACCAACTGCTGTAAAAAACTTATATCAAAGGTATGCAATTTAATAAATTGAACTTTAAGTCCAGTCCTGATTCTAGGCAGTTTTGGTATCTGCTCCATGGGGACCTCATGACAGAGCTGCCTCTCCTCTGAAACCTGGATCATCTCACCCCCTCTGTGGCCACAGTCTGCAGAGCTCTCCCTCTGCCTTCTCCCAGCCCTTTTGTTTATTCTTTGGATCATTGCGCCTTTAACCTTTCATTTTTTTCTCTCAGTTTGTAATTCCCTTGCTGAACAGGGGGGATTGTATAGCTTAAAGGAAATGACAGATTGGAGAAAGAGTGATCAGGGTAATGACAACAAAGTCAAAGGTATGGCAGTGAGAGTGAGGGAAGAATTTGGGGCAGGGAAGAACTGTGAGGCTAAGGTGACAGATTGGCCATCAACATGGACATACAGTTTGCTGCAAATGATGGTCTCCCCTCAGCATCTCGTACACTTGAACTTGCTCTCATACTAAGTCACTCTATTTGAACCCTCCCTGTAATTAGTTCTCTCTTATTGAAATCCCAGCATGCCCATAAACCTGCTTTGGCAAAGGTCATAAGTTGTCTTCTAAGCAGTGGCCTTTGGCAAAGATCATCAGTTGTCCAGTGGATACTTCTCAGTAAAACAGTATTTTTTAGCTCCTGGTGTAATTAGAGGGTCCACCAATTAGTCCTTCAAGCTTATAAGCCCTCATAAGGCGATTCGGCATTTAACACAATTGCTTCCTTGAACCTATCTCCTTTCTTTGTTTCTGTGACATAGAATTCAGTCTTACTTTTAATTCTACCTCCCTGGTCCACTTCCATGACTGAGAATAGCTCTCTATCAAGTTCTTCTTCCTCTGCCTGCCTTTTATAAGGGTTTTCACCATAACTCCATTCTCTGCTCTCTTCCTACTTTCTGTCTTCCCTGGGTGATTATATTCATACTCAAGGCTTCAGTTCCTCTTGTCTAATGATAATTCATAACCCATACCTCTGGCTTCTCCTGAGCTTCAGACCCATGTTTCTGTTAGCTGTGAACGCCCAGCTTCAGTGTCCTGTAGGTAGGCAGTTTAAACTCTAAAATCTAAGTTTAGAATTGTGACCTCTTCATCTCTTCTTCCTTAGTGCTTATCATATAAGGATGTCACTAAATGATTTTAGTAGGAAAAAAGAAGGAAATAACTAGGGTTTTTTTCCTTTGATGTTTTCCTTAGTGAGAAGCCACAGAAATGGAGAGTGGAAATAAATAGTGGTCAAAAAAAGGTGAAAACAGTGTGGCAACTGAGTGACAGTCTACCTGTGGACCATCTGAATTGCCACAAACCTGGTAAGTATGTTTTGTGATCTGTTTAGATAAATTGAAAATGAAAATAGAATTTTACTGGTAGAAATCATTATTATAGCTCTTATGCCCAATTTTAAATAATTTTCTTAAACCCTGTGTGTAAAACATTTATTCTGAAAAAATCATGAAAGAGTACCTTTTCTCATTATCCCGGAGAGAGGAACTTCTATTAAAAGAGATCAGGCAGTAGGAACATAGGACTAAAAATAGGTTAAAAGATTGAAATGCCATATTTCACATTTTTGTGCACTGTTTAAAATAGTGATGTTTCTGCCCAAATGTCTTCTCTGTGTCTGGAATAAAGGTTGAGATTTCTGGTGTTCTGTCAAAGACAGTTTGGTCAAAGAATGTTTTTTAGCTCCTGGTGTAATTATCTAGCCCACCAAGTCTTCCTCCTTCACTGAGCACCTATAAAACTTGTTTTCCTTGCTCATGTGGATTGTATGGTACAATCATCTTTTACTTACATAGGTCTTAAATGCATTCAAATATTGCAAGCCTTATCCAAAATTAAATCTGGTAGTTGTAAGACAAAATCCAAGAAGATTTCAAAAGCCTGTAGTTAACTACTTCTGGGAATACAAATAATTCTATTCAAGTGATTGATACCTTTCAAAATTATTTCCAGAAAATATTTATTTTTTTCCCCAAATTATATTTTAGTTCAATCATAATGGAAACTTCTCTATTCATATGGCTGAACTGTGTAAGTCCTAAAGAAACTGAAACAATTTTCTTTTTTTTTTTAGATGTTATTTATTTTTAGAGGGAGGGGAAGGGAGGGGAAAAGATGGACAGAAGCATCAGTGTGTGAGACATAGATCTATTGGTTGCCTCTCATGTGCCCCCAACTGGGGACCCGGCCTACAACCCAGGCATGTGCCCTGACTATGCCCTGACTGGGAATTGAGCCAGTGACTGTTTGGTTTGTAGGCCAGCACTCAATCCACTCAGCCACACCAGCCAGAGCAAGAATTTTCTTAAAAAAAAAAAAAAAAATTTTGCATGGCAAAAAATACCAGAGGCAAAACAACAGATAAATGACTAACTAGGAAAAGAAATTTTCAGCTCAAGTTCATAAAAGGAGCTACATTCCCTGGTGGAGAAATTTCGAATCAGTAAGAAAAATATTAATAATTCAATAGAAAAATGCTCAGAAATGATCAGCAATATGAACAGTTTACCAGAAGGGAAATTCAAATGTCATTTTAAAAATGAAAGGTGCTGTTGTTGGTGGGACTGCAGACTGGTACAACCACTATGGAAAACAGTATGGAATTTTCTAAGAAAACTAAAAATGGGTCTGCCTTTTGACCCAGCAATTCCACTGCTAGGATTATATCCTAAGAATTCTGAAACACCAATCCAAAAGAACCTATGCACCCCAATGTTCACAGCAACACAATTTACAATAGCCAAGTGTTAGAAGTAACCTAGGTGCTTCCAACAGTAAATGAATGGATCAAAAAACTATGGTACATTTACACAATGGAATTCTATGCAGCAGAAAGAAAGAACTCCTGCCTTTTGTGACAGCATGGATGGAACTGGAAAGCATTATGCTAAGCAAAATAAGCCAGGTGGTAAAAGACAAATACCATATGATCTCACCTTTAATATGAATCTAAACAACAAAACAAACAAACAAGCAAAATATAACCAAAGACACTGAAATAGAGAATAGGCTGACAGTGATGAGGGGGGAGGGAATTTCAGGGGAAAGGGGAAGGATTTACAGAAACAAGTATAAAGGACACATGGACAAAAACTAGGGGTGGGGGATGGAAATGGGATGTAGGTGGGGAGGACTAGGGGGGGTAGGCTGGGATGGGATTAAAAGACAGAAAACTGTACTTGAACAACAATTAAAATTAAAAAAATAAAAGCTCAACTCTACATATAATCAGAAAAATGCAAATTTATATTATACGTCATGTTACGTACCATCTTTTACCTGTCAGTTTCACAGAGATCGAAAAGTTTGTGCCACAGTGCTGGCAAGGACATGGGGGAACAGGCTGTTTGGAGTATAAAGTTGTGTACAGCTTCTTTGGAGGGCGATATTCACCAGAATCTTAAAAGAATATGAATTTGGCCTAGCAGTTTCTTTAATAGGAATTTATTTCACACATATAACTACATGTGCCAAAAGACCTATAAACAAGGCTCTTAATTGTGCAAGAATCAATCAATGAATGCATGGATAAGTGGGACAACAATCAGTGTTTCTATCTCCCTCCCTCCATCCCTCTTTTCCTCTTCTCTGTCTCTAAAATCAATAAAATAAAAAAATTTAAAAAATACACAAACTCCATTTTGGCTTGGGTATTATAACCTGTCCTGTCCATCATATATTCTTGATGTGTTAATCTAGAAACTATTTACTACCTTTGGCTCACAACAAGACCCGCTGTTGAAGAAGGACCTCATTTATATTCAAACAAAGCCCTGATTATAAATTTAAAGCCCAATAATGAAAGATCATACACATTTAAGAAGTTAGACCTCCTATTTCATTGGACTGAACACTTTGGTCGAATACTAGTTTTTCAAGGTATTTAGTGGTATAATACTCTTGAGTAAAATATTTGATATCAAAAGCAGGACAATTTCAGAGAGAAAAGCATACCTTTATCTGCCATGGGAAGAGAGAATAATGATTTGGAGTTAGTGGGGGAGTAAAACAGTGTCCAGTAGAGTGCTGCTCACCCAGGGGGTGTTCAAATAATTGTTGATGATGGTGAGAATATGGAAATCAAAATGTCAACGTACAAGGAAGTAGACTTAATCTCATCTAAATGGTAATTGTACTGTTTATTTGGAAATAACAGACCTCGGGAGAAAAAAATGGATATGTCTTACCCTGAGACTACATACATATCCTAGGTAGATTGTTAACAAGTACATGTTAAGATTGGGAAAAAAGTTGTTTAACTGTAGCAGATGAGGCACAAAAAAATAAAGCAAATTAAAAATATATAATTTTTGAAAAGATTTTATCTTATTTTTAGAGGGGAAGGGAAGGAAAAAGAGAGGGAGAGAAACATTAGTGTGTGGTTGCCTCTCACACACCCCCAACCAGGGACCTGGCCTACAACTCAGGCCTGTGCCCCGACCAGGAATGGAACTGGTGCCCTCTAGGTTCGCAAGCTGATGCTCAATTCGCTGAGCTATACCAGCCAGGGCAAAAATACATAATTTTTTAAAAATCTGCTTTCCCTTTTAATTTGTTTATCATGTTTTCAGTGCAACAAGAGGGTTACTATTTAAAGGAATTGTCCTTGCTGATTTTTGTCTTAACAAATTCTCTTAAAGTAAAAGATATATCGTTCAGCCTTCCTTTCTTTTATTGTAAAATTCAGCAGTATACAGGATAGAAAAGCCAGTAGGATGGTAAACAATTCTGATCTCACCATCTCTCTAGTTACAGATTTTTCTGAATTAACATTAAACAGTAGCCTGGAAGAAAGGATATCCTTTACTAACATGGTTACCTGCAGCCAGGTGCATTTCAAGTGAAGTGTGCTGGTCCTCTATCAGGTAGTATGTTCACTTTTTGTTCCCTCTGAATGCTTTGTAATGTGTTAAATACCATATGTTTTAGTTTTTCTGCAACAAAATGATGACTTAATACATTAGGGATATTGATTACATATCAGTAATCACATAAAAGGCTTACCAGATGTTACTGGGCTGTGCAAGTTTTTAACTTCCTTTCTTCCTTCTGTAGCCAACCTAATAGCTCAGTTTAATCCTAAAACCAGGGAAACAAAACATTTTTTTGAGTGGTAATATCTTTATACTTTAAATCTGAATGTAGAGTAGAGAGTTTGATTTCAAAAATACTGATGGAAGAGAAAAAGCCCTGAACAGGTATATCGATTTGATATTGAAATAGACTTGTTAAAAGCAATTAACCCCAGCCCAATTGTAGGACTAAAGCCTCAGGTGTAAATACCTTTTTAAAAATGTTTAATTTGAAATGCTATTAGCCAACCAAAAGGATTAATGGAATAGCATTTTCTATTATCTTACTATTTTTGTTGTTGTTTCAGAAACAGCATTAAGTAGAATCAGATGAGTAAAATGCCTGATATTATTCCTCCTTAAGTTGTGTCTTGTCCTCAGATAAATGGAGATTAGTTAATTTTAGCATATTTAAGAATAAAGTGAATCCTTATTTCAAAAAACAAAATGTCTAATTACAGAAAAGATATATAAATTAGTTATATTTCTTTAAGATATTTTATTGCGTGAAGTGAATTGGAATTAGGAAGTGTATATGCTCATTTGCTTGGTACCCGATAAGCTTTTGCCTGGTGCATGATCAGACCCCCAACTGAACGGATTGTTGTTTGTAGGTGACTGGCTCTGCCCCTCGTGTGTAGGACAGTGCTGAGATGGTGTTCATGCGTACTTCACAGTCATGTTTCTGGGCAGATTGGAAAATGAAAAAACACCAAGTCATAAAACAATTTGTACACTGTGATTTCTTTTTGCAAAATGAAAATAGATTCATAACATACAGCAAAATATTAACTTTGACTTTGAGAAGGGTAAGGTGATGGGAGATTTTAATTTTATTTACTAAATGCTTATTTTTGTTTTCTAATTCTTAAATCCCAGCATAAGCCCCAAAAAGAAAAAACAATTACAAAGCCTGAAACAGGAATGTATATAAATCTTTGAAGTATAAAATGGATGAAAATCGGAAGATTCTCTCTGAAAGATGAAGCTGCGAACTGGGGTAGCCCTGTCTCAGCTCTGGCTCCGCAGGAGGAGCATTAAGAGAACTGCAGCAATTAACACACAGAGGGTGCAGACTGTAGGTACCACGATCTCCGTTGCCATCTGCATGTGGCTTAGCAAAGGCTCTGGAATGGGAGAGAGAACACCAGAACAAATGGGAACGTGATCATTTTAGCAAGTAGTTTCATCCTGAAAGCTTTACCTGTATTGGAAAAACTTGGAAAATGGGATCACAATTTCTAATTATTCTCACTTGCTACAAAAGAATTAAATGTTAAAAAAAAAAGTATGTGAGGGCTTTGGAAAATATTTCAGAAAACATAGGATAAAGAATACCTAAATTTGGTTCTTCCATAGGTACTGTAATAAAGTCTAAATGTGTATTAATGTTCATGTTTACCATAATTAATCTCCAAATATTGGCAGCTATGTCATATGGTTTTTATAATTTTCACTGAAGGGATTTGTGAAAGAAAAATCCTTGACAAACATTTCCAACCTTTCTAAGATGTTATTGTGTATCTTAAGAAGTATAGGAGTTTCTACATTGAAATCTTGCGAGGTAATTCTTGCATAGTTAAGTAATAGTCCTGAAGAGTTAAATGTTAAGCATATTTCATGTACATGAATATAGTAGTGGACATTGATTTAAAACCTGCCTTTAGGGTTTGTTCCAGGGACCCTGCTTACCAAGGTAAATAAGGTATAGGCCTTGCTCTAACTGGGTTCACAGGCTCCACAATAAATTCTCCATCATGTCTACACAAGATAAAGGTTTATTTTAGTTTGATGGAATATACATCCTTAATATTACCTACTTATTTAGATGTGGGAAGAGGGGTAGGCACAGTGGTATACTGGCTTATAAAAATAGCTGAATCGGCAGGGTTTGGTTTAGCACTTTCTACCTCTGATACCATTAAAGATGTGTTTGTTAAAAAAGGAAATATATTTCTCTTACTGCCCTTATAGAGATATAAAGACAAAATTCAAAGAAACAAATGGTATGTGCTGGCATTTCTTGATATGTAGTTGTGTCTTTGTTATTCTACATCTCTGAGCTTTTTAGATCCCACTGCATAAGAAATGATGCCTTCCATGAGATCAAAGACCTTGGTTTGTTTATTACTATTTCCCCAGTGCTCAGAACATCCCCCCAACCTTAAAGTGGGTGCTAACAATTAGTTGCTGAATGAGTAAATATATCTCGAGTGTTCTTTAATTTTTTTAATTTTATTTGGTATAATGGTTGAATTTTTCCCTCCTTCCATAAGCCCACTATAACAAAATAATGGATTTATAAGCTTACAGTATAATTCAAGAAAAAAAGAATAGAGTAGCTAAAATATTTATTTTGTAGGTGTTTAAAATATTATTTAAATGCTTATAAGAGAAATTTGAAATTGCTTCAATATAAAGAAAAAACCATTTTTAATTATTTGGTTTTAGACAATTGACTTAGGGTTGGTCCTCATTTTCAGATTTTGGTTATGTCATTTCTATATGATTATGTGGTTTAATTATCAAAGAGAAGAATTAAAATATACTCACCTATAGCAAGCATCTGGTTGTTGATAGAGCAAGTTTCCAAGGCTTTGAAGTACCAACTTTCCACCTAATAAAAAAACCACTTGGTGATTAATGTTGTTTTTAATCTGCTTGTCGATTAAATTAGTTAACATTTATTGAACACCAATGTGCATCACTGTGAAGAGGTCCAAAAAAATGGTATTCTTGAGGAGTTTATAATCTAGTGCTGTTCTAGTGAACGCCTAATAGCTTCCGTAGTCTCACTGGAGTAACCCTAAAAGAATGTTGGTAAATAAGTGAAATTTATTTTTGTAATTATTTTTATTAAGACATTCTAAATTACAATTTCTATTGTCATTAGCAACATAGAGAGCTAGTAGAGAAAATTGTATGTTATTGAAGAATTGGCAGTATTTGTTTACATTAAAATTCAATATTTAGCCCTGACCAGGCAGCTCAATTGGTTAGGGCATCGCCCTGATATGCCAACGTTTGGGTTCAGTCCCTGGTCAAGGCACATACAAGAATCAATTAATGAGTGCATAAGTAAGTAGAACAACAAATCGATGTTTCTTTTCTCTTTTTCTTTCTCTCTAAAATCAATAAAAAGATATATTATAAAAATACAATAGGGGCAATATATTTACAACATTTAGAATAACACTTAAAGTCTTTATGGACTAGTTTAACCCAAACAAACAGGACTCCCGCATTACTGTAGTCTGCCCTTAATATTCTGCATGTTAGGGATAAATTTTAAGATGTGCTTATTACCCTGTTCTAGGCAAATGAACAAATAGGTTGTACCAGTTAGGGTAAAAGACCAAAGGGCCATGCTCCCACATACCCTTGTCCTCTTTCATGGAGGAAAGGGGAGAGAGGTGCTTGCCATACTATGTGCCCCCCAGCTGCCTAGCTCTTCTAAAATCCAGAATGAGTAAGATGGAAGATTAGTCCTACCTCTCTTGGATTGGGAAAGCCATTGGAGGTGATAATCTTCTTATAATATTGAACTGAAGCCTTTGGATACCGAGGTTTATTTCTGTTTTTAAATTCAACATAGTAGAATCCGTATCTTTCTGAGTATCCTTTCTCCCATTCAAACTTATCCAAAAGAGACCAGGAAGTATACCCTTTTATGTTAGCACCATCTTTTATAGCTGCAAAGACATTTAATTTCATATTTAATAATTTCATTTACTTGGAAAAATAGTATTGGGAAGATAAATGTTTTCATTTAGAAACACATTTTAGTCAGTCACGTGTATGAAGACCGTGTTGGTTTGTATCTCACCTTTTAGCATTTCATTTATATATCCTTTAAGGTATTGAATTCTCCACTTGTCACATAATTGAGTGCAGTGTAATTTTTGAGATGCTCCATTTTCCATCACATATATGGGAGGATCACCATATTGAGTCTGAAAGTGAGTCATAGTAATAAATATCTTTTAAAAATCCAGCTTATGGGTGGGTTTTTCAGTCTGAGGTACATATAGACACGTGCTCAAGCCTGCCATATTTTAACCACATGTGTTTTTAGTAAATGCCAGTTCACACGTTTATTTAGAGATGAATGCAAGCAAGCAGGGGGCAAGTTCATATGAAAGAATACATTTCTCAATAAATCAGCATCATTGTAGAGAAAATGTACCTCGGGTCTTGTTCTTTCCCACATATTCCATTTCAGCTGAGAAGGGCAGCAGAATGACTAAATGTAGGGTAAGACTTTTAGCTACAGTTACATACATTGAAATGGTTATTTGTAGTAGGCATTAGTCTACTATAAATGACTAGTAGGTATTAGTCTATAAGGTTGAAATCAGCCTCTGAAGTGTGACTAAGTGGATTTTAGTTTGTTAACTTTAAATGTAAGCACTTGAGCTTAAGCTCTTATGACCCTGAGTTCAGGTCAGAAATGCCTCTTAAATAGCTCAGTGTAATGATCACCTGAGCGAAGTTGAGGAGCCTCCTTAATCCCCATGGCACAGAATATAGCTGCTGAGACCCCGTATCAGGCCAGTTTGGGTCAACCAGTTCTACTAGGTCACGATCGTTCTGGTAGCTGGGCCCCTGGCGGGAGGGGTAGTTCCTTTCTGTGATGTACCGAGTTGTAAAATGACCTAATCCTAAGAAATCAGATGTGCCTTTAATGTAGCTCTTTTCCTGGAGTGAAAACACTGGTAACCTTGACATATCCAGGCCTTGCTCTGCACTCTTTCTTCCTATTGAAAGAGAAAAACAATTTAACAAAGTTTTACCTTCTCACAATCATTTTATGTATGAGGATGATACTGACATGTTGACATAAAACCTGTCATCCAAATCCTGGGCTTTAGGATTTATTTGTGTGGAAAATATAACCTTAGCTTTTCAAACCAGAATTTTGACATTTGAATACTGTCCAAAATTTTTAAAGTTTATATTGCTTAAAAGTAATACTTTCATAGATTACTCAGTAAGTGGTATGAAGACGTGTGTAGCCATCTGGAAAATAGTAGAGTTGGATTCCTGTATTATTCATTACATAAAAAATTGGTGACTTTGGCTGCCTCTGGGAAGGGAACTGCGAGGCCTGTGCACGGGGGGGGGGGATGTATGGTCGTGTTCGTGCTTTGTTGTAGGGTAAGTCAGTTGGCACACCTCTGTACTGAGAAATTTTGCTTAGCTTTCAAAATTATAAAAATATATGTCCTTTCACTGATCAATTACAAATCTGTGTGCCCTACATTTTACTCACACATGTAAAAGAATATACATACCAGGATCTTCACTGTAGATTGAGTACCAAAAGATTAGAAACAATCTAAATGTCTGCCAGGAGAGACTGCTCAAATAAATGATGGGATGTCTCTCAGTGCCCAACACTGCAGCCATTGGAATGAGCGAGGCAGTACTTTGGATACCAACATGGAAAGAATGCCAAGGTATGTGCTTGAAAGAAACTTGAGATGCACGGTGTTGCCTACAATGAGCACGATAACCTATACTGTTCTAGCAGCAGTGCTTTTGCTCACATGCGCACGGTCCATGCCCAGAGTGTGCCCCCTCCTGGGGAGGAGAGGGCAGTGGGGAGGGGGCGGGGCAGAAGGCTGACTTTGTACTTTATTGTACTTTAAAATACTTGAAACATGCATGTTGTACATGCAAACTTGCATATACTCTATGCAAAAAGTTTTAAATGAATAAATAAAAGTAACATTTTTATGAGTTGATATAAAATATAACCATAAAAATGTTTCCATGGAGGCTATTGATTTAAATAAATGAACAGTTTGTATTATTAAATACCTTTAAACTATTAGCATGTTATTACTTTCAGTTAAATTTAGTAACTTGAGAAAAACCACAAGTTATCACCACTATACTGTCTTTAATACAATAGCCACTTGCCACATGTCACTCTTTGAATATGGCTACTGAATTAAAGATAGTATGACTGCATCTTTAATTCAGTCACACTGAAGTACTGAATTTTTTATTTTAATTTTAATAGAAAAATGGCTACAGGCTGTCGTTGGATAGCACAGATATACATTATCTGCATAATGTGTATCTGTATATATCATCTGTATACATATACATTATTCATAACATTTCCATCATCACCAAAGTTGGTCAGCATTGGTCTAGAATTACTTTTGTTCATGTTTGTTGTGGATAAAAGGGTGCTTGAGATGCCTGGAAGTAATTTGTGAACAAGATTTCAAGCAGATGCTTTCACTACTAAAGAAAATATTAACTGCTCAGAGGATCTTTCTTTCCTCTTTGTACAAAGGAAAAGTTCAGCCCAGTTTCCACTTGAGTTATCACAGAGTTGTCTGGGGGGATTGGCCTTTAGCCAAGGTCTGCTCTATGACAAATAATCTGTTGAGCTTTTAGTGCAATCCTGTGTGGCTCCTTGCAATGGCCTCTGAGGCCCCAGGCAAGTGAACACACGTTGCGAATGATGGGCTGTGCCTACGGGAACACAGGCATTGTCTCTTGTCACAAGGGCTTTTTCCTTGTGCATTTTGAGGAAATTGTTCCCCAGGTTTTGAGTGTGCGTGTGTATAGACACGCCACACAACTGGTTATTGTCAAAAGATTTTTTAGAGAGTTTGTCTAATCCTTCATTTTCAGATGATAAAGCTGACACCCAGACAGGTGAAGCGCCTTGTCCTGTCACTGGTTAGTGGCAGAGTGGGAACCAGGTCAGCCTGATAAATGGTGCTTCAGAAAGGGAAAGTGTTGACATGTTGTCAGTTCTCAAACATCCAGGATAGCCTTGTTGAGTGAGATTGTAACCTATTTCAATATCATTCTTGTCTCTCTATTTTTTAGTGTGGTGTGGGCTGATACCTCCAAATCACACAGAGATAATACATTCCTATGGCCAGACACTGCGGGTTGCCTGTCCAGTAGTCCCATGCCTGTCTTCTGTGCCCTCTTCCAAGGACCTGTATCCTTTATGGGAGTCCTGGCCTCTGGAGACCTTGTCCTGGTGGTCTAGGGCACTCCAGGGCATGTGGTTCTGTCCCTTGAGACATGAAGGGGAAGCAGCTTTTGGGTGGAAGCTGTTTCGTGGGGAGATTCTCCTTGTTAGAAACAGATATGACAGAGCTGTTTCCTTTTTTCTGCCCTTGGGTGTTGATGTGTAAAGATGGGATGCCTGGAGCTGCTGCAGCCATCTTGTGGCCATAGAAGCTGAGGTGCCAGAGTGGAAAGATGGAATGAACCTGAGTCCCCAGAGACATCCCTGAGGGCTGGATTAACCTAGCCCTGGACTATCCTTTTCTGGACTCGGGTGAGATGATAAATTCCCTACTTTCCAAGTGACTTTAGTTGGGGTTTTCTACTAGGTGGCACTTAAACACATCCTTGTGAGCTCTACCTATCTTTATTCTCTGACACTGGAAACCAGAGCTTGGAGGGAATTTCCTAAGGGTCAGAAAGAACTGGCAATAGAACCCATACTACCTATGACTGTCTTTGATTTCTCTCTCCTACTTCACTAGTTAAAATGGAGTGGGATGGGGAAGACAGGACAGCTGGATGCACAAGAGAGCAGCTGAGAATTGCTAAGTTTTACTTCTGGGGATTCACACACACCCCTAATTCAAATAACCAGTTCTCAGTTCTTCGGGGGTGAGGTTATCCCTTGGTGCCTCGCTCAAGCCCAGTGCCTTCTACCTCCCTGCCTTCTGGTCATTTCACATGAGTTCAGTACAGTTGCTGGGGTATCTGGACTTTGAAAATGGATCTCAGCTCACCAATACGCTCCTTCATGACCTGGGGGTAGTCACCGGCATAAATGGGGTTGGCAAACCAGCCCAGGCAGAACTGTAGGTATCTCTCGGCAGCTTCTATGTCCTTGGCATTACTGATGTCCACTGGCTCCCCCCACTCGCAG